GAACAGTGGACATGGACAACACACTGGGGACAGGGCAAGGAGGGAGGGGGAAGGGGGAATCAGTGGGGGAAAAAGGAGAAACATCTGTAACAAAAATTAATTAATAAAAATAAATAAATAAATAAAAGACACACATGAGATCATGCCATTCCGGCATCATGAATCCACTCAGGGACTCCCCACTGCTTTCAAAACAAAATCGAAACTTTTTTCATGACCTGCAAGACCTTGAAATGATTTGTCTTAATTTCTATAGTCTCACCTTCTACCCCTCTCCTCCTCTCGCGCAATCCTACAGCCACACTGGCTTCTTTCAGGCCCTCAAACACGCCCAGCTCTTTCTTCCTGTGGGCAGTGTGCTGTGCCATCTCTGCCTTTGGTTCAGAACCTTTTCCCTCTGACATTTGAACGGCTGCCTCTTCTCTCTGTTCAGGTCTCAGCTTCAATGCTTCCCTTGAAAGAGGCCATTCCTGACCACTCTGAAATAATTCTCTCTTTAGTCCCTATTTGAGTTCTCTACTTAGGTCTTTTAAGCATTTATCAGTTAGTTTATTTATTTATTTATTTATTTATTTGGTCTGGCTCTTCAAATGTAAGCTTTAGGGAGAAATAACATCTCTGGGTTCTTATTTACTGTTGCAACCCCAGTGCCTTTGCACAGTATGTGGCCCATAGTAGATGCTTGAATTGCTGTTAAATGAATATGCACATGAATGGATAAGTAAAGTGGAATTTGATATATTGGAGTTCCAGGAGGATGCTTTTGGCAAAGAATGTACAAGCTGTCTTAGCAGAAAATGTGCCAGATTTGAGAGAGGCTTTGTGAAATAATCACAGCCACCAAGACCAAACAGTTTGAGAAATTAAGATGCTTGGAGAAAACTTATACCAAATTATGGGGTGTACCATGTAGAAATAATACTGGAGTTTGTGTCTTTATAATACATTTAGAGTTTGGGGGTGGGGCGGAGGGCTAGGGGAGGCAGATGAGAGGAGGGAGAAAAACGGAACTGTCAGACTCAAAGCTATTAAGTCCATCAGAACGGAACAACTGCTCAGGAAGGTGAATTTCTTGGCTTATAAACCTCCTCATTGCTCCTCTGTGCTGTGGATATGCAAATGCCTTTGCCGACTGACAGCACCGAGGGGGGGGACAGCCTCCGTATCCACCCAAAGTCTTGCATCTGCTCCGAATCTTATCACAGTGCTCTAGGTGTAATTAACCTGAGTGATGACATGCCCTTGAGGCGGCTGTCAAATCTCCCTCCCCACTGGCCTGTCAAGCCCTCTCTAGTGGATCAGAAAGGGGAAGAGGGAAGCCTGGCGTCTACATGTGAGCTCCAGGGAGAAGGACTTAAATCTGGTGTCAGTGCCCAGATATACCATCCGGCAAGGGCAAGCCTGCAACAACTATGTGTATGTTTAATTGGTGTCCAGAAAGAGCCGACATTGGGACTGAAGATCCCTGTTTTAGGCTGGCCTCTGCCTGGTCTGTGACATGGGACACTGCTGACTTCTCTGGGTTTTTCTAACACACAAAAGTGCTTTTTGGACCGGCAGCTGATCTGGTGTCTATAGCCTCGCCTATGAAAGCAGACAGGCTCTGAAGTCTCTTCTAGCTTTAACATTTGACGTATCAGTATATCTGTGATTCATGCATCTTTTAATGTGTATGTGTTTCTGCTCAACTAACCACTGAGCCACTGGTAACAGGAGTGACGTGTTTTTTTTATGACTGTCAGGTAAAATATAGAACACCCAGTTAAATTTGAATTTCAGAGAAACAACAAATACTTTTTTACTATAAGCAGGTGCCATGCCGTAATTGGGACATTTGCTCAATCTGACCATTTTAGCTACTTGTCATCTGTCCTCCAAATACCGTAACCTTTTGGAGGGACAGGAACTGGATCTTCATCATCTCTGAACTCTCTTACAATTATCTGTGCCAGATCTTTGGATTCACAGACATTATTGGATTTTTTTGGAGGGAAAAACAACTTTTTCTTTTGGCAAATGAAGGCATTTATAACCATCATCACTTGACTAAAGAAAAACCAGTTAAACATGAAAAACAATGAGAAGAATTATCAAGTCATTTTATATAATTGTATATAACAGCAGAATTATAATTTATATCAATTTTATAAAATCATGTTAAAAATTTAACTTTATGGTGGGGGGGTGGATGAGATAAGCCAAAGAACTTGTATGCATGTACACATAACCAATGGACATAGACAACAGTACTGGGGGGGTGAGGGTGGAGAGAGGGGGGATGAGGAGGACGGTGTCCGGGGGAGAAACAGTTATAACAAAAATAAGTGAATAAAAATTGAAAAAAAATTAACTTTACAAAATACTCATCACATCCTCCTTTTGCTTGTGTGTTTCGAGGGCAAGCGGGTGACTTCGAACAAGTTTGGCACTACCCAACTTATCTGCGTTTGGGAGCTTTCGCTGTGTGGTGTTTATCTGAAGGCCTTGCCCAGGTTGTTTTCTCTTTTACTTTAGCTCTGAGTTAAATTAGAGTTCAACTGTTCCAACTACCTTCCTCTCTCCCTTCATTCCTATGCTTTCTTCCAGGCCTTAAAATCTCTTAATGAATGAATTTTTACTGTAAGTTGCCTCAAGAACTTTGGAAGTATAGGAATAGTTTTTTAAAACTTGCATATGGTAAGACCTCAATAAATAATGCTATTGACAAGGCAGAGGTGAATATTGAGTGGTATCTGATTAGTTTACTCTCCGAAGATAATTGTTTTTACTTATTTTAATTTCCCATTCTTCAAATTTTAGAATGCTAGAGCTGGAAAGGTAATCACGTCTTCTGAAAAGTCCAATTTCAGATTTGGGGTCCAGTTGGGATTTCGGGGCTAAGATTCATGAATCTATAGGAATTCTAGGATCCAAGATCCACTCGTCCACATGCCCTCTTAGCATATATCAAAGGGCGGTATGTCATTTTACAGGTGAGCTGACTGAGCACAAACCAGTGAAGTGATTGTCATATGAATCAGTGGCAGGTGCGAATGAAGTGCACGGCACTAGCTTTCTTAGCAAATTAACCGACTCTGTGGGAGAGAGGAAGGGCAGGGAAAGGTGTTCATCCGTTTCTGATCACATTACATAGTAGAAAGTGGGTGCTGGGTGTAGAGAAATGAAAAGACCTAAGATTTATCTCAAATAATAGTGACATTTCTCTCCCATCTGTTCTGAGATTTCACAGTTCACTGAGCACCTCTCCCATATGATCTTGTTTTGATCCTCACCACAAGGAGATTTAGCAAAATGGTATTGTTTTCTATTTTACTTTACAAATGAGAAAATGGAATAATAGTCACTGTGTTCATGTGACCAGTAAAAGGGGTAGAGCTGAGATTTGAATGCTTTGTAATAGTAAACGTCACTCAAATCTGTAAGACAGGCAAATGTCTTTGTCATTAAAAAAAACTGATTTACTAGACCTAGAGACATAGAATGGAGTATGGTTTAGACTGACAAACCTGAGTAGGGGGATAGGGAGGATGGACGAGATGAACCAAAGAACTTATATACATGTACACATAACCAATGGACATAGACAACAATGCTAGGGATGAGGAGGAGGGTGTCGGGGGGGGGGGGGAGAAACATCTGTAACAAAATATAAATTAATAAAAATTGGAATAAAAAGAAAAAAACTGATTTACTATTTCAGAATTTAAAAAGGTCTATACCAGTGGTTCTCAACCTGTGGGTCTCGACCCCTTTGGGGATCAAAGATCCTTTTACAGGGGTTGCCTAAGACTACCAGAAAACACATATTTCCGATGGCATTTCATAACAGTAGCAAAATTACAGTTATGAAGTAGCAACGGAAATAATTTTATGGTTGGGAGTCACCACAACATGAGGAACTGTATTAAAGGGTCGCTGCATTAGGAAGATTGAGAACCACTGGTCTATATGATTATTATAAGAAAATTCTAAGAATTCAGAAAAATGTAGATTAAAAAGTAGAAGAGTGTATCTCATCCTACTCCTGGTCCTGAAGTTTGATGGGTTCCTGAATTTTCTTTCTCTATGAGTTGACATTTATTTATAGATACCAAAATTTTTTAATGGATCAAACTATATACATTGCTTTGCTTTTTCATAACAATATGTCTCACCCATTAGTTCTTAAGTAGAGATCTGCCTCTTTAAGATGAGCCATGTTTGACAACAGAATAGCAACATTCATGTGTATACTAATGATAGGAAAATATTTTATTTACCACCAATGTGAAAATTGGAGCTGATTGTGGAAGGGAAAGGGTGCTTGTGCTGATAAATGGACTAAACTGACTCTGATAGTGTCAGCTGATTAATTTTCCCTCCAAGAGCGGGGGCTTCAGAATCAGAATCACAAATCGCCTCACAAGGCCTTGAAAAAGTTATGGAATAGCTGACTCAGTTTTCCCATCTGTAAAATGGGGATACAAACAATATGCGTTCCATAAGATCACGGTGAGGATGAAATGATTCCCAGTAAATGCTCAGCACAATGCCTCATGATGACGACAATGATGACGATGAGGATGCTAATTCTCGTCCCGGGATGGGATCGTGGGTGGGGCCTAAATCGCAAGGTTATTCAGGTCAGGAAGAATGCCCCAGGGGATACTTTTATTAAGCGCTACCAAACAGTTCCGTCTGGGAGGCCCTCTGGAGACGGTTCTGACAGCGAGACTCCAGTTTTGGAAACCTCAGCGGCCCAGGCTTTCAGGATCTGGTGCTTGACTTAATCTTTGGGGAACCGAGGACTAGAGTTCCCAGGGGGCACCACTGCAGCCCCACCTCGCTCACGACGTTGCGTCTTCCTCTTTCTCGGCCCAAACTACAAATCCCAGAAGGCTCTGCAGCACCGCTGGGGTCTGCGGGTTCATCTCCGCTTTTTAAAGCAAAACCTGGCCCGCGTTGCCCTCTGGGAAAGTGTACCGAACAGCCCTCCCCTTTGAGGCCCAGGCGCTGCAATAAGGAGGCGAACCGGCGGCGCTCGCACGCCGGCCCCTAACCGCCGGGTCGGAAGCGCAGTCTGGGTCGGGGGGACCTCGGAGACGCGCCGGCCCGGGGCGCCGGGAACGGGGCTGGCGCTCCAGGCCTCGCCGGTGAGAAGGTAGACGGGGAAGGAGGCGGCGGAGGCGGGCGAGACCAAGTGCCGGCCTGGAGCGGGGAGTGGGCCCGGGGAAGGGTGAATCCAAGTGGAGAAAGTAGGGGTGGGAGTGGGGTGTGGCTCTTCTTTACTAACCAGTCGGAGTGTGGCGCGCCCCCAAATTAGAATTTTAGGATGTCTCAGCCTGGAGAGGAAGAGGGGCGTCCATATGGTGCGATGGCATTATGGTTTGGGTCCGATTTTCACCCCATGGCCTGCCACCCCAGGTTCCTGGAGGCAGGTGGTGCCTCAGGCTACGGACGTGGAGAGTGCGGGGTGCAGGAGACCCCGCGGGGGAAAGTTAGGCAGGGGTGTTGGAAAGGTACCCAGGGAACCCGAGGGCTTCAACTGTGTCCCCGCAACCAAGCTTTTCCCAGCCCCTTCCTAACTGTTGGCCGTTGGAGGTGGAAGGTCTCTGGGGATAGCTCTTTGGGGTCTAACCAAGGGAATCCCAGCAGGAAGGAAACCTTTGAATCCTCAGAAGCCTAAACAGTGCTGCTGGAGTGTCCATTATGTCATTGTAAGCATTAATTGCATGCCATTACCTTGGGCGAACCAAACCAGAGAGACTAGTGTCCAGCTCCCTGGTTATAGGAAAAAAAATATCTATCTATCTATCTATCTATCTATCTGATAGCTCATGTTTTTAATGATTTTTTAGAGAGAGAGGAAGGGAGAGGAATAGAAAGAAACTTTTGAGATGGCATTGATCTACTGCCTCCTGTGTGATCTGAGGGATCCTGCAACCTGGGCATGTTCCCTGACCAGGAATCCAACCAGCAGCCTTTCTGTGCACTGGACGACACCCAACCCACTGAGCCAGACTGGCCGGGGCCCTGGTTGTAGAATATTGTAAAAGTAGCTCAGCTCATAGAAAAGTGACTTGAGTAAATTAATTTAATAATCAGGGTACAAAGCAGAATGTATACAATGATCATATTTTGTAATACACATATCTCCCAAATATGTGGCATGTGTCTATGGCTATGGATAGGAAAAACTCAGAACCATACTGTACTCTAAACTATGAATGGTGGTTACTGATGGATGGTGAGATTACAAATTACTTTTACTCTTTCCTTCTTTATGTAGCATCTGAATGTGTACAATGAGCACACATAACTTTTTGGTTTTTTTCCTCTGTATTTTTCCAAAAGAGTCACTGGATGGGGTGGTGCATTTTGAAAGACAGGCACTGCAGCCAGCTGCTCTGTGGCTTGCATCTGGCCACCTGCAGGTTGATTTGCCAAGAATGATAAGGGGATTGAATTCGAGGGGTGAATTGAGTGTGCAGTCTATGTGAGGCTAATGCTTTTTTTTGTCTTCCAGGTTGGAAAGAGTCTGTTAGCAAGTGTCGCACCATGGTATGTGGTTGTTTTGATCTATGTCAGTCTAATCTATTATCCTTCCTAGTTTGAAATATTCTTCTCATTATCTGGTGGATTTGGGCAGCACTGCATAACTTCCTTGGGATCTGATAACTCAGTTGGCTAGGGGATGAGAGGAAGAAAAATATTGTAGCTAAAATGCCTCTTCGGCTTTGGGTTTGATCTTTTTGCTCTTTGAGTCAGGGTCATTTTTCTAGCCGATGCTACCTAGGATTCCTGTGCGTGTGTGGTTTTTTCATTATAAAAGCAACTTTAATATACCCTTTGTTGTGCTCTTTGTGCATTTCCTGGGACAAAAGCTTGTTAAAATCAAGGTAGGAACATGATAAATAAATATATTTCATGTTTGTTTTCATTTTTTTTTTTCTTTCTCAGCTTTTGCCACATTTCTGATTAAAGATTGACATTCCTGCATAAGCATTTTCCTGGTAAGATGTCCTTGCCTCTAACAGAGGAGCAGAGGAAAAAGATTGAAGAGAATCGACAAAAGGCTCTGGCCCGTAGAGCCGAGAAATTATTAGCAGAACAGCATCAGAGTGCGTCCTCGGGCTCCTCCACTGCTGCCCTTCCTTCCCAGTCCAAGCAGGGTCCTTCTCACAGGCCCCCCAGGGATTCTTCGGAGCCAGTGAGCCATGGTGTCATTTTCAAGCAACAGAAAACCAGTAGTTCATCTTATGGTGACCAAAGACTTCATAATCCCCACAGTTTTCATCTCAGCACTCCGGAGCAGGCAAAGAGGACATGGGGGAGGCCAGAGGAGATGCCCACAGTCTGCCCACACCACAGCCCTCCAAGTCAAGTGACTCTCACCGGGATCTCCCCTCCCTTGGCACAAAGTCCTCCAGAGGTTTCCAACCAACAGCTCTTGGGTCAAGGTCATGCTCAGGTTTCACACGGGACCAAATCGACACCCTTTGCTAGCACAGCTCTTGAGCCTTTGGCCAAAGCAGAGAGTTCCCAGGATTCACCAGCTTCTTCCTCTGGACAGCTTTCCAGGGATCCTGAATTAGAAGCCAAGGCAGCCAGGCCCTCCACCTCGGGACAGAACATTGTTGACATCCATAGTGGCTCAGGGAGTGTGATGCCTAGGACAGAAGGAAGCCTCCCACAGAAATTGGGGGCCTCACCCCACAAAGCAGTAAGCTCCCAGGAGGGAATATGTGTAAGGGATGGAGACCGTTTCCAGGTGAAGATTGGGTACAACGCAGAGCTCATTGCCGTGTTCAAGCGTCTGCCCAGCAGAAGATACGGTAATGAGTCTTCATTCAGTCTGGTTGTTTATTTTTTTCTATTTCTAGAGTCTCAACCTAGCAGTTTCTCATAAATATGAAGATGGTGCATTGGCACATTCTGTCCATCCAGTTGTTAAAATTGTTCTATTTTAGCCCATGCTTCCTTTTGTCATAGACATTCCTTCAGACAGCTGCCAGGATCGGAGGACTGCCACATGGCCATATGGAGCATGGATGAATGTTTACTGAGAGGCCAGCTCCTCTGCCAGGTGCTTCGTTCGTATGCACTGCAGCACTTAAGCCTAATGACTTTTTGAGATAACTTGATGTTATTTTAAAGGCAGTGGAACTGGCTTGGCAAGGTGAAGAAACATGCTCAGGTTGGTTTGTCTGAAGGGCAGAGTCAGGATGTGGCCAGCTCTGCAGTGCCTCAGTGCCCACTCCTGATACCCAAGCTTTGCTGGACTGCACAGGGTCCCACCTCTGCCCTCAGTCCTCTGAGGTGAGGCCTCACTTGTATTTCTCAATATGAAATAAAAAGCATCCTTATGTATATCTGCTATTTTTCCTCTACAAGGATTTTGTAGATCAGTGGGAGCATTCATTCATTCACTCATTAAACAAGCTTTTATCGACTGTCCAAGTACAAATTAGAACAACAGTCATCAACCTCACTGTGGACAGACCAAGTATTTGTGCTGCATTTCAGATCCTGAGACCAAGACGTGGGACTTCAGCATGACCGATTACAGTGCCCTGAGTAAGTAGGTGTGCCGTCACCCCTCGCGCAGGAAACACTGGTATTGAAAAGTTTCTCTGGAGCAGAAGATGCGGTCTGCCTGGGGTCGGGATGGCTTTCAGAGCACCATCCCATTGCTCTTTTTTCTTCTTACCATGGCCAGCCTAGGGAGGCAGCTCCTCGGGTGACAGTCACTGGTATTGTTAACAGGAGCTAGCATTAAACGGGGGCTGTTCTAAGCCCCTTACATATGCTAACTCTTTTATTGCTTGTAACAACCATTTTGCAGATGGGAAAATAGTCCCAGAGAGGGTATGTAACTAACATAGGGTCACACAACCAATAAGTTGTGCAAATAGGATTCAAACCCAGACAGTGTGATTTCAGGGTTCATGGCTGGATTGCTGGCTCCAGCCATGGCAGGCAGCAGTGCCAACCTCTGCTCCAGAAAGTTTACGGTGCAGCAAATAACCCAGACCCTCATGGCACTGTTTCTATGGCTAGTTAACTCGAGAGTGCAGGGAGGGGCAATGCCCAGGCGGGCTCCAACCAAGGCCAGGTCTGGGGAGGTTGTTGTTGAGCCCCTGGGTGCAAGCGCCACTTCTGAGATTTTGTTGACTGTCCCTACTCCCAGGCTTTTGTCACCTCCTGGTGCCTGAAGTCTGCTCCTCTGCCCTGGGTATTCTCACATCTCCAAGCGGTCTTTTCTACCCCCTCTCTTGCCTCCCTTCCCCCCAGTTCAAAAGGGAAGAGATGAGGATGTGGGGTGAGGTTGCTCCTCCACAGATTTGGGGCACGGAGTGGGATTCTCTGGAGTCACCAGTACAGTTTCTGGGGGCTGATGGCACAGCTCCCTGCGGAAGTTCCTGTTTCTCTCCTTGGCCTCCCCCTCTTGAAATGTGTTACATACGGTGATAAGCTTTTCTTTGGTATCTGCTGGTGACCTTTCTGGGGGCTCATTTTACTATTATTTTAATCCGTGTGTTAGGTGTTGGGACAGGAGAGCCAGTGTCCTAAATTAAGATCGCAGGTCTTGACAGTGTTCTCGTGGTTGCTTGGATAAACCAGTAATTTCCACTGTCGTGATTTTGTTTGTTTTAATATCTTTTCACCCCTGTTCTCTGACCACAATGCATGGTGACCTGAATGACCGACTTCTGTGTTTGCAAATTCATTTAGGTTTTCTGTGTGGTATGGTTGCTTTTGGTAATGCTCCACAAAATATATTTTTTAAAACCATTTAATGGGTACAAAAGTCTATTCATAGCTTTTAGATGAATTTTGCTGATTATAAGTTGTTTAGCTCCTCTGTCCTTGCCCGTGTTTTACACACTTGATCTGCTGTCTACTGAGATATACCTTGAACCCTCTTGCGATGGTTGTGGATTTGTGCATTCTTATTTTTATATTTTCAGATAGGTTTAGGATTGTTGTGTCTTCTTAGCAGAATATACTTTTTATTGATGTAACATATAAAGGCTGTCTCTTCCCGTCTGTCATTTTACTTTATGTGTACCTCTGGATTTTGCCTTTGTAACCCTCCCACACACTCATAACATGTGGAAAGTATATCAATGTGCAAAGAAAAAACACTATCCCCATAAAGTCCCCACTCAGTTAACCACTATTAACCTGGTTTTTTACCTTCTGACCTTTTTTCTGTGCATTAAAATGTACTAGTTTTTGTATAGGTAATGTAATTTTTCTCCTACATTTTTCACTCAGTGTTCCAGCGTAGCGTTTTTTTCCCGTGGTGATTGTTAGCAGTCAATTCTGAGTGATGAAAATGTGGGTGCCCATTACTGGACCATTTTGACCGCCGAAAAAATGATTTCATACTGTTGAACTTAATATTATTACTTTTATTTTTGTGGTATTTCTGTCTTTTCCAAAATTTCTTCCAAAAAATAATTATTGATAATATATTTCATTGTAAGAATGTGTTATAGATTGCTTAAGTCGTTTTTGTCTGTTTTTTTTTTTTTCTTTATTGATTTTTTTAGAGAGACAGGAAGGGAGAGGGAGAGGGAGAGAGAGATAGAAACACTGATGAGTGAGAACATCGACTGGCCGCCTCCTACATGATCCCCACTGGGGATTTGTCCCACAACCCGGGCATGTGCCCTGCCCAGGAATTGAACCAGTGACCTCTTGTTGCATGGGTTGACGCTCAACCACTGAGCCACACTGGCTGGGTGGCTGACTTCTAGGTGTTTTAATTTGAAAACTTAAGGAGTACAAGGGTTACGTTCAATAAATACTGAAATTTCTAAAGCCTTAATTTAACATACTTGCAAAGCTTCCCAGTCCAACAGTACCTTTTCTCTCCTGCCTGCCACATGTAATTCCTCTGACCCTGTCCCTGCCCTCCTTTGCCTGCCTGAAAGTCATCCACCTTGTCACATCCGTTCTTCTCTTCTTTGACAGTGAAAGCAGCCCAGCGCCTCCGCACAGTCACCCTGCAGCCTCTGGAAGGGGCCGGCAGTGTGCCACAGACCGGCCTGCCTTCAGCTCCCTCTCTGGCCTTTGTCAAAGGGCAGTGTGTGCTCATCTCCCGGGCCCGCTTCGAGGCAGACATCGGCTATTCACAAGAGCTGATTGCACTGTTTAAACAGATGGATTCCAGAAATTACGGCAAGTAATTGGCCTCTGCCTGATTCCCAGGGTGGACAGTGGTCTGTGATCTCAGAGTAGGGTGTTTTTCTCTCTGTTTGAACACTCAAAAATGACTCTCTTGGTAGAGCCTTCCTGATCTGCTCTTCTTCCTAAGAAAGGTGATGCCTGAGTTGTTCTAGATAGTGAACGTATAGTGGGCTTGTTTTGTCCTCAAAGGCCCCCCAAAGAGAAGACCCCATGATTTTCCCCAGCCACCTGGTCAGTGTTTTCTTGGTAGAAGCAGATAAAGTCCTGCTTCAGCCGTTTAAACTTACCTGTTTATATTTTGTTCGTAGCAGAGGTTGAAAAACAGATGGTTGCCATAAAAATAGATGTCTTTCTGTAGACGACGACAGTGGTTCTCAGACTTGAGCATGCACCAGAACCCCCTGAAGGGCTCGGTAAAACACACATTGCTGGGCCCTGCCCCCAGTGAATGCTACCGCCTGCTTCCCACCCAGAGACCCTGAATTCATGGGTTGAGGTGGGGCCTGGGCATTGGTGGTTTAAAAAATCTCCAGGGGAGTCTAGTAATCAGCCAGGATTGACAACCACCGGCCAAAGCGAGCAATTTTGCTTTATTTTTTGTGAGGTTCCTTAAAAGCTGCTTTGTCAGAATAAGGGGCAAAAGTCAGCTTCAGAATTCTGAACTCCTGGGTGTCATTCTTAGCTTGGACCGTATTGTTTTACAAAATGGGTGGCTTTTTTGGGTTACTATTCCCATTTTTGAAAAGGGTTTGGCTTTTCCCTAGGCAAGTAGAAAGCAAACTCTTAAAACTTCCTGCCTTTGAGACATCACGGTCAGGCGAGGTCCCGGAAGAAGCCCTGTAGCATCGCTTACTCAGTGAGGCTCTTACTCAGCTTGGGCTTTGTCAGAGGACACCGAGGCTGCCTTGTCTTCTTCCTGAACCTGACTCACTGTGGCCATGATGCTTTTTCCAGGGCCACCTTGCTTTCCCAGTGGCCATGCAGACAAGAACTAAGTTTTGCTTTCCAGAAGGCGTTCATCAGAACGCTTTCCAGAAGCTTCCTTGATATTCTCAGAAGGCAGATTGGTAGGAAAACCTCTTTTAAGTACTTAGCCAATGTTGGGTAGTGAGATGCTCACCCTGCTTAGTTAATATTGTGTGTAATTTATGCTACACGATACTAATCAGCAGATGGCATCATCATAATAATAACAATAATCATAATTTATAATTTTTTTTTTTAGTGCTTATTAGCATTTTACATTTAAATTTAACCTACTCCTCATGAGAACCCTGTGAGGCATGGGCTGTAGTGTCCTCATTTTTTAGATGTGAGAACTGAGGCACAAAGAATGTATGTGACTTGCCCAGGGTCGCACAGCTGGGAATTGGCAGAACTGGGATTTGAACATAGGCCGTGTGGCCACTCTGACCATGCACAGCTTGTTTCTCGTGTACAAAATGGAGCTAAAAATAGGGCCTGGTTCAGAGCACATCGAGGGGCAGAGGAGACGGTGCCTGTGACTCCCTTGGCGCCGGGCCTGGCTCGAAATAAGCACCGAATAAGTGAAAGCCACAGCGAGTGCCCCTGTCTTGGAAATCCAGGTCATTTCTGACCTGCTGGGCCATGCCCAGTCGTGCAGCCCCAGAGCACGGTTTATCAGCACTCTTACAACCCAGTACAGCACCATGCCTGCCTGTCCTTCCTCCCTGAAATCTGTGAAGACCTCGCGGGCAGGGACTCTCAGTTTCTGTATCCCCCACACCAGCACAGGATCAGTGCCTCTTCATGGGAGCTTCCTGGAGGTTCTGAAACCAGGCACTGTGATCTCACTGAGCGTGAGGAACGAGCAGGAGGCAGGCTGTCACGTTCTTTTATTTGTTTCTTCTCATTGCAGATGTCAAGACCAGGAAGTGGAACTTTCTCTTGGAAGAGCACAATAAACTAAGTAAGATGCCCACCTTGCTTATTTTATATCATGCTATTGTTAAACTTTAATTATCCGTCTTAAATTGAATACATTTTGAAAGATTCTCCTTCTCCTTCTACCACGATGACTTGATGTGCTGTTTACAGGACAAGTAAAGGTGGAGATGTTCTGAGGCAGCCCATCCCCATCCACTGAGATGGTGGCTTTACAACAGCCAGCGAACACGCAGCCTCTGCTTCCCTCGGGTTGAGGCGGTTCTGGTCAGATTCCCGGGCCTGGGAAAGCTCCTGCCCACCATGGAAGTTTAGGGATCAGAGGTGAGCTAGGTTTGCTTAGCTTAGATGGAAGCTGCTTGACTCTCCCTGAGAACAGGCGCTCAGATTACTTCTAGAATTAGATGATCAACAAAGGTTGGAGAGTCTCAGAGGTACCAGCTTCAGAATGGGCTGAGTTCTGCCAGAGGCAGAAGCCTAGGCCAGGGTGCATAAGCATGTAATGAGCGCTTTGGAGATGGACCAAGAGAAGGGTTATGAACACAGATATAACTGCAAGAAGGAGAAACCAGTTTGGACTTACCATTTTTCTTCTCTGCCTTGCTTGGGTGGGGCAATAAATTCTATGCCTGAGAAAGGGGGACATGGTCATATCTCAGCCTGTCTTGAATGTCTGTCACTCATCTTCCAAGCTGTCACAGTTCTGCAGTGGTTATGCCGCTGGCATAATTGTTCCTCCTGCTTGACCCTGATGACTTGTTGGGTTGCCCAGCCAGTGTCCAGGCAGGCCAGGAGCAGCATGATCCAGCCCTGGAGCCCTGAGACACTGGCCATCTTGCCCACCAGGTCGTGGCTTTAGGGAAGAGGGAAAAGCTGGGTTTCTGGCCTTTGTGTCCTCCTTATGGGCTTACTGTGGGACATCAGGTAGACAGTTCAACATTCTTGGTCCCATTAGCCTTTGTAGTAAAAAACAGTGGGCCTTGAGTCCGTATCTGCCCCTTTGCCAGAAATTAAATATAAGGGAAGAGCTTTTGATTCCTTGAGGAAAATCTTGTTGCCAACTTAAAGTTAAGTTTGAATATGATGAGATACTTAATATTAGCAAACCCCATGGCTGCTGCTCTTTGAAACCTGTGATTCAGAGCAAACTCTTTGGCCGTAGCTGAATTTTTGGTGAGCAGTAGGAGTGAGTGTTTTCCCCTCTCATCCCTTTGTCCTTCAACCACAGGAAAACATATACATATGTTGGCTTTAAAGGCTTGACTTGCATGGAATGACAAAAAGTAGGGTACGCTCAGCGTTAGCAGGTAAATGGAACACTGAAACCAAGACTGACAAGTCACATAGCATCATATGATGGTTCCAACATTTTAGTGGACCACTAACCTTTAGTGGACTCGCTGATGAAAATGACAATTCTTCATCCAGAAAAATGTACAAAATGGCCACAATAAAGTTTGCCTTAGTTATTAATAATTCATGGTTCTGGCGTTAAGAATTCTAGATTCAGAGTGCAGATTGCCTTTTTCCATGCTTTCTTGTCATTCCAGTGTCTTGTGGAAACTAAGATTGATTTTCCCCATTTCACAGATTGGGGAAAGTTTAGACCCAGAGACGGGAAACCATTGTTTTCCCTATTGGGAGCGTTGTGGGTCATGGTAAACTCAAACTCTGACTAAAATTGCGATCTTGATCTTGTAGCATGACCCTTTTGGAAATTTAGAAGCCAGACCCGTGAACTCAGAGGCCAGGGAGACAAGGCCCCGCAGAACGTCGCAGGTCCTGGTTGAGCTGGTTCCGCCGGTAGCAGACAGTACCCTGGGGAATGTGCGCCTCTCCTCATCCCTGGGGCTGTCTCATATGCGGAATTAGATGGTTGACCCTGAGCTAGTGAACATGTGCATGTGAAACTAATTAAAAATGACAGTGAGGCCTTCTAAGTGCAAATGCTCGTTGGTGACGTGGTGGTAATTATTTTCTCCAGGTTAGGTGAAGCTAAGAGCTTGTCTCTCTCTCTTCTAAATGACTGAGGCCTTTTGCCCATAGTGAAATTGGCAGGAGGCCTTTTGTTTTCCCCTGACGATCACAGTCCAGAAGGATTCTGCATCCCCCTCAATGATTCTGTCTTGTCAGCTGCTATTTGAAAACATGCATATTTCTGCTGGGTGGCTCAGTAGTGGTGCCAAAGAGCTGTTTCACAAAAAACGACTTCTAGATGACTCGGAAGCCAGACAGCACATTCCTGTGCTCTCCCAGCACCGGGAAAGGACAACAGCCACAGTCGTTGATAGCAAACGGTGGCTTTCTCAGAACACACCCAGTTGGCTGAACTAGCATCGCAGGGTTTTGGAGACAGTGGTTGGTAGGAAACAGAGTGGAGGTGGGTTTTTTCCTCTGAAGTGGCTGAAAGAACTTAATGCCTACAAAGCACCACGCTTCACATTGGCTGGATTATCAGCCGTGTCTCAGTTTTCATTAGGCGTCTGAGCTCTGAAGACCACTAGGATTAAGATGAAACGGCTTCTGGAAGCACATAGAGTGCTCAGCCTCCTGAAGTGTGCAGAAATCAGCATGCTCGGATTTCATTTGGAGGCATACAGTGTATTTCTGCCTCAACGCGGACAGTCTCTTTTATGTAAGAGCCGTCAGCCTTGCCTAATTTCTTATCCTGGTGATTCTGCTCTTGCCAGTGGTTTCCAGAAATAACCAGTACATATATTTAGTGAAGGACAGAAATGGATTTAAATGTATTGAAAATACAAAACAATTTGAGGTAGTAGATGGCTCAGTCCTCCAAAGTCACATCAATATTTGCAGTGGTAGCCAGTTGGTGGTTGTGGCAAAAGACTTTTGTAATACCTTGTGAAGACAGTAAGAGAATATATGACCCTTATGGAATAGAGAACTAACAACCTTAGAATTCCAAATACTATTGGGTAGACATGAAGTATACCCCGTGTCTCTTTATTGGATCCTGAGGACAGTGAGCCCCTTGCTTTCACTGTGTCTCTGCCTGGGTGCCCTTGAAAAGGTAAAGGATGAAGAGCGATTGAGGATCGCAAACAGTGGTCACTCTTCTAATTGATTTTCACAGGACGGTGCTGAAAGGGGAGAACATTAGAAAGCTAGGGCCCATCGAACAGCCGGCTGTGATTAGTAGTTTAATGATAATTCCACCACCAGCAATCTCTAGGTCTATAATCTCTAACTTTGTAATTTTTTAACTCATCTTCCCTTGCCCCAACCCCAAATTGTATGTTTTATTTGTATATCTAGTTTATTCTTTTTTTGTTTCTCTATTGAATAATTTTTTTCCTATTAATTTTAAAATTAGGTGAGACCTAAATTCTTTCAAAGAGCAAGATCAGTGAAATTAATTTGCTTTCATTTCCCTGTAGATTTCAGGTAGTTTGTTTTTCCCACTTGTTAATGGCCTGTCCACTATATGGAAGTCTGGAACCTCACACCTGGAAGGAAAGTAAAGACCCCTAAAGATGGGCGTTAGTGGAAAGAGTCAGAGTCATGATTACTTTTAGTAATAATTGACACTGAACTTATTGGGTTGGTGGACTTTTTCTGTAAAGGGCCATATAGTAAATATTTTAGGCTTTATGGGTCAGGCAGTCTTTGTCCTGAGTACACAACGCTGCCAGAGTAGTGTGAAAGCAGCCGTGACCATCCATAAACAAATTGGCACAACTGTGTTCCTGTAAAACTTTATTTACAAAAACAGGCCGATTTGGCCCACAGGCCTTCGCTTGCCGACACCTGCTTTGGAGACTAGGTGGGGAGCTAGCAGGTCACCTCCAGTGAATGGATTTTCGCTCTAGCTGCTTCACCACTGAGGTCACCACTGTAGAACTCACCTCTCTCAGGGGGAGGTCATCATTGTCTTTCAGAAAGGGTCCAAGTGCGCAGGGCCACTTGCATTGGTCTCAGTTGTGGCCTTTGCAAGGACTCTGCCCTTTGCTGTGGTTTGGAAGTAGCAGTACCATCCTACTGATCTTTCTCAGAAACACCGACCAGCTTCTGTGTATGGAGCGTAGTGCTTCCTTGCCTGTTGACAGCAGGTGACTTAGAGTTCTCTGACTTCTCAAACACTGACATCAAAATAAGACATGAGGAGAATGGAAATAAGATGAGTTTTTTTAATTCTAAGTCTTGCTTTGGGCAAAATTTTTTTAAGACTATGAGTCCTTATTTATTTGAATAAGAATACTAAAATAATTTTTTACATAACTTCAGGTTAAAAAAGGTCGATCACAAAATCACTTTATAGTTCTTTCCAGTGTTTGCGTAGTATAGAAAATCAGTTTTGCATGACCGATTGCACTCATATCTTCAGAAATTAAGGAATAGAGAGGGAAAACTTGTTCTCTAGCATGCATCCGTCAGCCTTGATTTTCTCTCCAGTTACTTTTTGACAAGATGGCATGCAGCAGAATTTCAGCCATTGAACTTTGTATTTCAAAGCTCCTCCCTTTTCCCCGGATCTCTTGGACGTAACACTCCAATTCATATGCCTCTGTTCTTCCTTCTAGTGGAAAGGGTGCGCTGCCTTCCCCAAGTTCAGCTGAATCCTCTGCCCAAGACGCTGACCCTGGCCTTCGCCTCTCAGCTGGAGCGGACGTCTCTTAGTCTCACGGCAGACGTCCCTGAAGCAGACCTCTCTGGAGTGGACCCCAAGCTCGTGTCCAGTCTGCTGCCCTTTCAGAGAGCTGGAGTCAAGTAGGTTCTCGATCTCCCTCTTGCTCTCTCTTCCTCGCATTTTCTCCCTCACCACCAGCTGGGTTCAGATGCTCCTTCTTTTGTGAATGCTCATCTTTCGCAGGCGTCTAGAGGCATTTGGGCATTAAACAGCCAGATGTGCTGTTACCAAAGCCTGATTGTAACCAATGGTTTCAAATTCCATGAGTTATCAGGACTCTGTATTGCAGGTGTGCAGAAACCCAGCTCAGACTGGTTGAAGAAAAGATTTCTCACTGCTTGTAATAGAAAACCCAGGGTCTTTTTTTTTTTTTTTTTTGTTATCCTCATTCAAGGACATTTTTCCATTTTTTGTACAGACAGAGTGGGAGGGAGAGAGAGAAAGAGGGAAACATCGATGTGAAAGGGACACATCGAGTGGCTGCCACCCGCACAACCAACCAGGGCCGGGGACAAACTGCAACTGAGGTACATGCCCTTAGCGGGAGCCGAACCCGGGTCTCTCCGGACCGCAGGTGGACGCTCTAACCGCTGAGCCAAACCGGCCAGGGCGAAAACCCAGGGTCTTGAAAGATCTCATCAGGACTCTGTTCCTCTCCCAGCCCTGCTTTCCTCGTCGTTTGCTTTATTCTCAGCCAGACGCTCCTCGAGTGGCAGCTGGGGCTGCCAAGGGCTCCCGGCTCCCATTCATCAGCTCAGCGACCCAGCGGGAAGCACCTGTTTCCTAGGAGTGCAACACTGAATGCACGGATCTGGTGCTGACGCTGGAGCCGGTCAGTCGACGTGGTCAGGAGCTTGGAGTCTTGGTGGTGAGGCTGGTGATAGTTCTACCCCTAGAGCGAGAGGGTAGGGCCTGCATCACGTGGATTACTTGGACTGAGTAGAAGGTGGTAGTTTTCCAGAAGAAGGTTAGGGTGTACCTGTTCTAGAAAGAAAAAGGGTAAACTTGTGGCCCAACCTGTCCTTTTTTTCAGAGTTGCTTGGCAGAAGCAAAATGACAGATTTGAACTTGCCTTCTAGTGAATATATGGGAGGTCGAGGAGAGGGAGGATGAGACGACAGTCCATCCAGAAACATGAAAGCCAGATGTTCACAGAGGTGTGGTTGGAGAAGAGCCCTGTGCAAGGGAAGGAACTAAGCTGTTCCTTAGGACTGACAGGTGAAGGCACCCTGCCGCTTTGTGCAGTTGTGGTTAAAGCTTGGCTACTGTCTCAGACGGGGTTTTGTTCTGGGTGTGGTGTGGGCACAGTCACACCTTGCTGCATTCCCATGGCCCCAGCTCTGCCCACCCCCTTGTCTTCCTTCAGTTTCTGTCCCCCTGACGTAACACTTTGCTATTTCAGCCCTTCATCTCTCGTGATGTCCTTTGGGCCTTGTTTTACCCAGGCTCAGGGTGGTTTTTTTCTTTGTTCTTTTCTTCCTCTGACTCCTTCATTAGCGTTGCCCACTCTGCCTTCATCATGAAGTTCTTAATAGCTCCAGTAGAGATCCTTGGGTCCATGTGGTGCATGCTGTTTGCCTCCTCTCCACTTGGGGCGCTGTGTGCGAGGCACCCCAGGCCAGTGTGCCTCAGAACAAAGTGTGGCCGGCAGCTCCTGTCTTTTTCTCTAGGGCCCTGAAAGTGCTAATGGTACTTACCAGCCTTCTTCAACACTGTCTAATTAAGTCCAGTTTTAACCTTCATTCTGTGAGGGTGGGATGGTGTTGAAGGAAGAGGGCTGTGAATGCCCATTTTTTTGTTTAGTTTTTATATGTGAGAATTCAGTCGAAAACTCCCTTAAACTTAAGGAGCGGATCTCTTAGATGCATGTCAGCTTCCTCTAATAACTAGCTGATCTCTCTCAAAAGGCGTGAGTTGAGGCTCAGAAAGACCACCACCTGCCTCAAGTCACTCAGCTCCCCCAGTGACAGGGCGTAAATCCTGCTTTCCAGGGGCGGGTGCAGCACCTCTGCTCTGCAGACTGCCCTGTGGAGGAGGCGCCGCTCTGCGGTGGTTTCTCTGTCTACCCAGGAGTTTCCTTTGCTTTGGCCTCATTTTTGGCCACTTGGTTTCTTAGCTGGGCTACCTCAAGCTCGGGAAAAAGGAAGGACTGAAATTCAGGGATCCGTTTTGCTTTGACAGTGCCCAGAGGGACAGAGCTGTGTGGACATGGTAAATGGTTTCGCCGAGGAGGCCGCAGCAAGGCCTGGGTCTGCTGCCCCGGTGCTCTCTGGCTGCCCTGGCCACCAGCTTTGTCAGTCAGAAAGTGAGATACAGAAGAACTCTTCACACTCGCCCTCCCTTTGGCTGTCTGGGTCGTGGGTTGACCCCAGAAGTGGCCCAGAAGGTTGAACTGAGATAGGAGTGCTCAGAGCCTGTTCGGAGAGGTGAGGTGGCAGGCAGGAATGTGGTGGCCATGGCTGGGGACGCCGGAAGGGAGGCTTCCTCTCACTGGATGGGCCACTGTGACTGCTGGGAGGACAAGGAAGTGCCCCGAGGTGACGCCTGTTGTCTCCGTGCGCTGCTGGGCCCAGGCATGCTGGCCTCATGCCACCTACACATCTGCATGTCCGTTTTCCACACTGGCCTTGGAAAGATAGAAACACCATTTCCAGGCAATTCAGAAAGACCACATACAGCCTAGAATTCTCGTCTGCTATACCAGCTGCTAATTAGGAGAGGTTACATTCTGTCTTTACTGTGTGAGAAGGGAAGAAAAAGAGCTAGTTGTCTGGCTTATTGTCAGGCTTCTGAGCAAATGATCAGTTTCTCAGGAATCAGATGAATGGGGATTGGTGTCTGGGGTGGGAGACCAGACATCTGGAACTCGGAATCCTTTCAGCTTTTCACCGAGTCATCAGGTGACTCGAGTAAGCCATTCTTACTGTTGTGTCTTGATTTTTTTTTTTTTTTTTGGTGAAGTAATAGCTATAAGGGAACATTCTCCTGACCCCTGCGATGCTGTCAAGCACTGTCGTAAATGCTTATTAACTTTATTAATCCTCCAATCCTCTCGGATGGATCCTGTTGTCATTCCCATCTGTGGCTGAGGCACCAGGAGGTCCCATGACTTGCCTCTAAGCAGTGGAATGGGGATTCCAGCCCAGGCCAGTTGGGCTCCTGAAGAGTGGAATTCACCTCATTCACAAACCGTTAGCAGAGTTGTTGCAGTGGAGGTGACGGGACTCGAGTCTGCTGGTTGGTGGGAACCTTTGCTGAGGTTGCTGCTCCCTTGTAGACAGACACCTGCTCCACCCTTCCCGCTGCGGCCCCTCCTCCTTGGCAGGGCTTTCTCCTTGCTGGCTCCTGCCCTCTGCCCTTGTCCACGCAGTGTCCTCTCTGGTCTCCATCTTCAGTTTCTCTCCTGCCCTTCCAGGCAGATCTCTCGTGTAACCGTTTCCCACTGTCCTTTCTCACCCCGGCCTCGCTTCCGCCCGGCTGAGGGTGACTCTTACTGCAAACTCCTTTCTTGGCCTCTGTGGCCTGATTATCCTCCAGAGCTTTTCTACCTTTTTCCACCATTTCACATTTTCCCAATTTTGACTCCTTTTTAAATTACTATTCTGTCCCCTAATTGACTCCTGCTTTTCCCTCGTTGGGGAGCAGGTCTCGTCCCCTGAGCAGGGCCCGTGCTGGCTGGTGCAGCAGCTCAGCCCACATGGAGCCACACGTATCACTTTACCTGGTGGCGAGGTGGCAGGTCAGCTCAGGCCCCAGGGAAATGTGTTGTGTCTCTGTCCTTCCCTGGTCTGCTTTCAGTTTTGCCATCGCAAAAGGCGGCCGCCTGCTGCTTGCTGATGACATGGGCCTGGGGAAGACCGTCCAAGCCATCTGCATCGCGGCCTTCTACCGGAAGGAGTGGCCGCTCCTGGTGGTGGTGCCGTCATCTGTGCGCTTCACCTGGGAGCAGGTCAGTCTGTGTTGTGATCTTAACAAAGAAGGCTTTCCTCAGGGTTAGAGGAGTCAAATAACAGCTTGGGGACAGGGCCTGGGATCTGGAAAGATCTGTCCCAGCTGAAGGCAGGGATGGAGATGAGATGGCTCCTGCGACTGGGGAGAGAGCCGAGGAGCGCAGGGCTCAGACCTGCCTCGTTCTGTCGGCAGACGCTGCCTGGGCACCTCTCGCACCTTCCGTTTGCACCACACTGAATTTTCAAAATGTCTTACCTCCTTCAGTCCCCATAATCCCATCCTAGCCATGTGCAGTAGGCACAGTAGGCCTTCTTCGCCCCATTTACAGATGAGGAGACTGCACTCAGAGAGGGCGGGCTCCCCACTTCCTGCCGACGAGGAGCAGTGCAGGCCTGGAAGTCCTGTCCCCCGACTCTCGGCTCAGGGCTTTGCGCTCGGGCAGGTGGTGAGGGCAGGGTGTGCCCTGTCCGCCAGGCACCTTTACGGCTAAAGAGTCGGATGTGAACTCAGCTATATCACCAGTCAGCCTCGAGCTTTGCCGTAAATCCAGGGATCAGAGTGGGTCTGTGACATGAATAAAAATCCATATAAGCAAACTTGATGAAGAAGGAAGCCCCAGGCTTTACGTTCCTGGTGGTGGCTGTCGGCTTCCTCGGTCCTTGGCTTCTTCCTGAGCCCCATGAGCCGCTCCTGGTGCCCAGGCCTGCCCTTCAAAACGTACATTGAAACTACCGCATTCCTTTCCTGTCCTGCGATCTGAAGTCTGCCAGGGCCTCTAGGAGCTAATAACTCAACACGATCTGCTTTGTGTCCGGTTCCCACAGCACCTCAAAGTGCTGGGAGGGTCAGGTGGGCAGACGAGGCTGGGGAAGGCCCCAGCACTCCCCACGTCAGCGCCGAGTCAGCTCAGGGATGCCAGGGGAGCACCCAGTCGCTGACGTGGAGGCGCCGGGGCCTTCTGTTGACCCTGGGCACTGGCTTTGGCTAGAGGAGGCAACATTTCTAGAGAGAGCAGGTGCTCTGTAGAAAATGTCACCATTAGTGCCTCCAGTATACCGGCCTCTGCTAAAAATTCCTGGATAAACTTCCTCTTGTGAGAGTCACGTCCTTTCTCTGCGGAAACTTGCCATCAAGGTAGGGGTGAGAGACGGAGTCCACGGGCACGCAGAGTAGCGGCCCTGCCTGTGCCTGCAGCGAGCGGTGTTCTGTTAGCGGGTGGGGCGGGGGCGGGGGAAGAGGAAGGGGAGGTGGTAGCTGTTTGTGGGGACAGGCAGGCAATGTAGGAGGGCGTGGAGGCCCCGAGGCCGGGTTGGTTTTCAGGGAGGGAGCAGCGTGCCTCGCGGGGCACTGGGCACAGGCCATCATCCGGGTTTGTTCTCCTGTCACCCCCAGGCCTTCCTTCGGTGGCTGCCGTCTCTCACCCCAGAGCACATCAACGTCGTGGTGACCGGCAAGGACCGCCTGACAGCTGGCTTGGTCAACATCGTCAGTTTTGACCTTCTGAGCAAGTTGGAAAAACAGCTAAAAACCCCTTTTAAAGTTGTCATCATTGTAAGTGATGTAGCAAAGTCTTTTTTTTTTTTTTTTTTTAATCCTCACCCGAGACATTTTTCCGTCTTTTGTTCAAATAGAGTGGGAGGGAGAGAAAGAGAGAAACATCGACATGAAAGGGACACATCGAGTGGCTGCCACCCGTACAACCAACCAGGGCCGGGGACAAACTGCAACCAAGGTACATGCCCCTAGCGGGAACTGAACCCGGGTCTCTCTGGACCACAGGCCGATGCTCTAACTGCTGAACCAAACCGGCCAGGGCAGGCAAAGTCTTTAAGTACTTTATCTCGGTGGAAGCTTTCTTCCTAACAGCCCCACAACGTTCATGTCTGTGCTCTCACGGAGCCTACTCAGCCTCCAGAGAACAATCGTTGTCTTCATTGTATGGTGAACCAACGTTGCCCTTCTCTCAATGAGTGGTTCTGAGCCCTGGCTACACATTACAATTTCCGGGGGATCTTTTTGAAAAATGCAATTATGCCTTAGCCAGTGTGGGTCAGCGGTTAGAGCACCAGCCCGTGCACCAAAGGGTTGTAAGTTCAATTCCTGGTCAAGGGCACATACCCGGGTTGAAGGTTCTGTCCCTAGCTCCAGTTGGTGAGTTTGGGAGGCAACCAATCGATGTATTTCTCTCACGTTGATGTTTTTCTCTCCCTCCCTTCCTCCCTTCCACTCTCTTTAAAAATCAGTGGAGCCCTGGTGGGTTTGGCTTAGCGGCTAGAACATCGGCCTGCAGACCGAAGGATCGGAGGTTCAGTCACCCGTCAAGGACACGTACCTGGGTTGCAGGTTCAGTCCCTGGCCCCAGTCGGGGTCCTGTAGGAAGCAGCCAATCAATGTGCCTCTCTCACATCGATGTTTGTTTCTTTCTCCCCCCTTCCACTCTCTCTCAAAAGAATCAGTGGAAGAATGTCCTCGAGTGAGGATTAACAGCAACAAAAAAATGCCCTTTCCTAGGACTGTGCTGGGGCGTTGTAGCCCGTATTCCCCGATGTGAGGTCACGTGTGGAGGCCTGCGGTGGACTCCGGACCTCCGAGGGGCTCCAGGAACTGCAGCGTGTGCCTTCATCTGCTGCCCTTTTATCAGAGGGGCTCAGATGCACCATTCAAACAGTTAACACGTTTTCTTCCAGCGGATGGGAAGACACTCGCTCCCCTTCCAAAACGTACTTTTTACTATAGTCACTTTTGAAAAGATGGCTTTGAGTTCTGCTCCCAGATATGACGGCACACCTTGCAGGGACTGGCTTTCCTTCTCTTAGTGTCGAAGGAGACTTGGTGCCAGCCCCTCTGTCAGCACTGTTCCATGGCTCACATAAAACATTCTGGAAGGTGTGCAGTCTCTTCCACCCCAGCCCCATTCGTCCAGTTCCCCCCCGTCCCCCCCACCCCCCCGCTTCATGGAACCACCAACTGGTATGCAGGGACGAAGCCTGTGGTGGATGATTTCCAGTGGAAGTTTACCTGAGGTTTTCCTTTTGACAAAACAGAAGCTGATATGAAAGGTTTCTCCTTATTCAAATGTGTGAATTTTAAAAGCCAGTGATGTTTTCCTTCTTTTAAAAATAGAATTCTCTATTGACTGTGGCTTCTCGAATCTTGGCACGCAGATTGGAGTGTATGTCTTGTCTAAGGCAGAGAGGGAAGAGCTTTAGGAGGCCCAGGGATGTGGAGTCTGAGGCACACAGGTCAGCAGGATTGCAGTAGGGACTTCGTGCTTTGGTTTCCTGGAGTGGGGCTGATTGTTGGTGCATTCACCCATGTGTTCATCTAACACTTGAGTACCAGCTCGTGCCCTGCATAGCACTGTGCACTAGGGAGGGAGGAGGGAGGGAAGGAGGGGCGAGACAGCCAGCCCCCATCCTCCACGGAACCACAGTCCAGTAGGACAGACAGACACATGCACAGGTCATTAGAATACACGTTAGTGCTTTCATAGACTTGTGAACCAAGTACTATGGCAGCTCCGAGAAGGGTCTGTTAGTATGATTTAGACATGAGAATCATACTGTGTTCATAGCATAAGCAAACAAATGTTTATATTTTTTCAAAGCTAAAAAGGTAACATATTTGGGGGAGTCTTTCTGGTTTGGCACACATTCAAGCGTGGCTGTGAACAAATGTCAGCATGCTTGCGAAATGAAAACATTTAAAAGAAGTACAATGTGGAGGAAGAACAATGCCTTCACTCCTCACATGTGTTCCTGGATCAGGTACCTGATATATAATCACTGCTCTTCCAGTGGCCCCTAGGCAGCGACTGTCCCCATCTCACAGCTGATGAAAACTGACAGAGAGAGAGGTTACATAATTTGCCCGTAGGCACAAAGCTAGGAAAGTGGAGAGTCACGGATCAGAGCCGGATTGCATCTGGCTTCAGAGTTCCCGTGTTTCTGTTTCTGACTCAGCACCTGATCGGCCATGTCATTTTTAGCAAACCACTTACCACCGTGGATGGTTTGTCTTTCAGTTAATTGAGAACCCTGTCCTCTTCCTCCTCCAGAGAAACGTAGGAGGGAATAAGTGACGGTTCTGAGATGTCACACTTCTTAGATGTCACTTTAGTATATGAAGGTACAGGCTGTTCCTTGGGGTTAGTTATAATAGTGGTACGTTGTTACCCATTTGTTGAAAGGGTCCATTCCCTTCCATATCCTCTGGACTTGGTGCTATTTTCTCTATAAACCTCTTTTTCTTGGCTGCCATGTAGGCTCATCATAGACAGGTGTATGAGTGTTATAACCCAGGTTTCTGGGAATAGATACAGTGGGATTTGGGGGTTCATCTCACGTTCACCTGGGGGAGGGCCTTACAGGTCTTTAGCAACAGAGCCAGGATCTTCCTGGTGTCCACTGAGTGCTGATTAAGTGGCAGGACTGTCCTAAGGGCTTTTTGTGCATTAACCTGTTTAAGACTTAACGACAACCCGGTACATTGGGTGCTGGTATTACACCCATTTTACAGATGGAGAAACTGGCACTGTAGAGAGGTCAGGTAGTTGCTCAGAGATAGCAAGTAATTCGAAAGTGACCAAAATAGAAAAATTTTCCCAAATGCTAAGAATGTATTAGTTCTTCATTGAGCTTTAGAAAATAGGACATTTTCTAGTTTGCTTATGCACAGAATTCAGAACTATAAATAATCAAATTCCATGTTCTAAGCATGGCAGTAAGTCCCTTGAGAACAGGAATCCTGTCTTCCCTTCTTCAAGTTCCCACAGTACTTTGTCATACCTGCCTCAGTGACAGCACTCATAACTATCTGATCATTAGTCGGTGTGGCTGATGTCTTTTCTGCACTGCGAGCCCCTGGGGACGAGGGCTGGGCCCCAGTGCAGGGTGCACAGTGGGTCTGCAGCACACTTTGCTTTAGTACTGAGCAAACGCCAGGTGTGTCTTATAAAGTAGAAACCGCCTTTCAGCAGCTTGCAGCGCAACCTGTGATGTGGGCAGGGCAGAGGAGTCGATAACCCCTCTCTGTAAGTGGAAAAGTCCCAAGGAGAGGAGGCGGCTTGCCCAGCACGCAGTGGAGAAACTCCCCGGAGCCTGGGCCCTTCCCAGGCCCACAGCTCTGAATGAGAAAGTGCTGAGGGATCCTCAGTGTGGGCTCCAGACAGGAGAAACTGGCAGGATGCGTTCCTTCCAGGAAACTGACAGTGTTCCTTCCAGACGGGATATGACAGTGTTTACCTATGTGACTGTTTCATTTCAGGATGAGTCCCACTTCCTCAAAAACATCAAGACTGCCCGCTGTCGTGCAGCTATGCCCATCCTCAAGGTGAGTCCTCCCGGCAGAGAACTTGAAGCCTGAACGCACCTGGTATTGAGATCTCGCTGTAGTTTACTCCGGCTAGCAGGGGGTCCAAGGAGAGCAGGGTCTGCAAGGTGGGGACTGTGGGCCATGGATGTGACTTAGTGTTGACTTAGGGCATCTCTGCTCAGGGCTCTGGTGTTCAGTTTCATTCCCTTCCTACCATCCTGCTAAGGAACTCGTGGTTGGTGCGTCATCTCTGCCTCTCAAAGATGAAGACCTGTTGACAGTCACAGGCCAGGCTGGAGCTGCACTCCAAGTTCCTCTGGGCTCCTCCTGGACAAAGCAAGGCAGTGCCTCCAGCCGCGTGTCTTGGACAGCTCAGCAGAAACGGCCTGACTTCAGAGTCGCTGCAGGCAGAGCTCTGCTGGTGCTTTGGGACCAAGGGAGATGAGTTGTACAGACTTAGAACCAGGCCAGGTGGTATTAGCAAGGAGCTGACATCAGCCATCCGCATCCCTTTCTGGGCTGTGTGAGCTTGCGCCTGAGTGCTCTGGCGGGTGGGGTCCTGCATGCAGAGTCAAAGCTGTGTGAACGTGCTCTGTTCTGAGGAGCAGTGTACGCTCCCTGTCTCATCTGCACACACGTCTCTGCCCACTGTGTGTCCCAAGACAGGGAAGGCCCCCACATTTCCTTCCATCCTCTTGTGAGCTTTTTCCTAATACTGGGGGGAAACAGTGCAGTTGGAACAGCAGCTTTTCCTCTCATAACAAGGCAGAGATCTCAGAGGTGATGTTGGGGAAATCTACTTCGGTTGTGTGGACTGAGCACACAGGAGTGTAGACTGTGCACACAGAAGTGTAGTCTGGGTGTGGAGTGCAGACTGAGCACAGGAGGGCAGACTGGGCACACAGAAATGTAGACGGGGCGCAGGAGTGCAGACGGGGCGCAGGAGTGCAGACGGGGCGCAGGAGTGCAGACTGGGTGCAGGAGTGCAGACGGGGCGCAGGAGTGCAGACGGGGCGCAGGAGTGCAGACGGGGCGCAGGAGTGCAGACTGAGGGCAGGAGTGCAGACTAGGCGCACAGAAATGTAGACTGGACGCAGGAGTGCAGACTGGGCGCAGGAGTGCAGACTAGGCGCACAGAAATGTAGACTGGACGCAGGAGTGCAGACTGAGGGCAGGAGTGCAGACTAGGCGCACAGAAATGTAGACTGGGCGCAGGAGTGCAGACTGGGCGCAGGAGTGCAGACGGGGCGCAGGAGTGCAGACGGGGCGCAGGAGTGCAGACGGGGTGCAGGAGTGCAGACGGGGTGCAGGAGTGCAGACTAGGCGCACAGAAATGTAGACTGGACGCAGGAGTGCAGACTGAGGGCAGGAGTGCAGACGGGGCGCAGGAGTGCAGACGGGGCGCAGGAGTGCAGACGGGGTGCAGGAGTGCAGACTAGGCGCACAGAAATGTAGACTGGACGCAGGAGTGCAGACTGAGGGCAGGAGTGCAGACGGGGCGCAGGAGTGCAGATGGGGCGCAGGAGTGCAGACTGGGCGCAGGAGTGCAGACGGGGCACAGGAGTGCAGACGGGGTGCAGGAGTGCAGACTAGGCGCACAGAAATGTAGACTGGACGCAGGAGTGCAGACTGAGGGCAGGAGTGCAGACGGGGCACAGGAGTGCAGATGGGGCACAGGAGTGCAGACTGAGGTCAGGAGTGCAGACGGGGCGCAGGAGTGCAGACTGAGGGCAGGAGTGCAGACGGGGCGCAGGAGTGCAGACTGAGGTCAGGAGTGCAGACGGGGCGCAGGAGTGCAGACTAGGCGCACAGAAATGTAGACTGGACGCAGGAGTGCAGACTGAGGTCAGGAGTGCAGACGGGGCGCAGGAGTGCAGACTGGGCACAGGAGTGCAGACGGGGCGCAGGAGTGCAGACGGGGCGCAGGAGTGCAGACGGGGCACAGGAGTGCAGACGGGGTGCAGGAGTGCAGACTAGGCGCACAGAAATGTAGACTGGACGCAGGAGTGCAGACTGAGGGCAGGAGTGCAGACGGGGCGCAGGAGTGCAGACGGGGCGCAGGAGTGCAGATGGGGCGCAGGAGTGCAGACGGGGCGCAGGAGTGCAGACGGGGTGCAGGAGTGCAGACTAGGCGCACAGAAATGTAGACTGGACGCAGGAGTGCAGACTGAGGGCAGGAGTGCAGACGGGGCGCAGGAGTGCAGATGGGGCGCAGGAGTGCAGACTGGGCGCAGGAGTGCAGACTGAGGTCAGGAGTGCAGACGGGGCGCAGGAGTGCAGACTGGGCGCAGGAGTGCAGATGGGGCGCAGGAGTGCAGACGGGGCGCAGGAATGCAGATGGGGCGCAGGAGTGCAGACGGGGCACAGGAGTGCAGACGGGGCGCAGGAGTGCAGACTAGGCGCACAGAAATGTAGACTGGACGCAGGAGTGCAGACTGAGGGCAGGAGTGCAGACGGGGCGCAGGAATACAGATGGGGCGCAGGAGTGCAGACTGAGGTCAGGAGTGCAGACGGGGCGCAAGAGTGCAGACTGAGGGCAGGAGTGCAGACGGGGCGCAGGAGTGCAGACTGAGGTCAGGAGTGCAGACGGGGCACAGGAGTGCAGACGGGGCGCAGGAGTGCAGACGGGGTGCAGGAGTGCAGACGGGGCGCAGGAGTGCAGAGTGGGCGCACAGAAATGTAGACTGGGCACGCAGGGGTGCAGACTGAGGTCAGGAGTGCAGACTGGCACGCAGGAGTGGAGACTGAGTGCGCAAGAGGGCGTGTTTGTCTCGTGCCCCATGAAGGCAGCCTTTGTGTTGCACCAGCATTTCAAAATCGCAGCTCTCACTGCTTAAAGGAAGCTTTACGTTGTACCAAAACTGGGGAAACCAGTATGTTAAATGTTAGTAGCATTTGAAAATTAACTTAATTTTTCCACCTCCTCACCTAACACACACAAATATCTACTCATTTCAAGTATTTTTTGTTTTGTTTTAGGAGTAACAAGTTACACGATAGTAACAAGTAGTATGATACATCTTCCAACAGAGGATTATATCATAGGCTCCAGCCTTAAAAATAAAAGTCCTTCACTTAAAAACCTTGATCCTCTGCTCATATTGCCCATAAATGTGAGAGCCATTTATGGATACCCTAAATGAAATGTTTTTCCCAGGCTGCTGACCCTTCTTTTGGGAGGCTTAATATGTTCTCTTTAGAAAAATGTTAATAGACCTTGGTACTATGGTTCTAATATTACAGCCATAACTAAAATTAAATCTGTATCCCAGTTGTTTAGACAAAGAAACAGCACAATGGTCAGATTGTATCTTTAAAGGTACACGAGGGGACCTCCTTAGCAACTGTCTTGTTAGCACAGCCATTGCTGGTTTGGTTCACTGGACCACACACCGGCTTCTGAAATGTGTGCTCTGGGCCAGACCCATTAAAGCAGCGTTCACATCTTTCATGTCTTAGGTGTATTTCAGGGTGACATATTTAAGACAAATCTTTCAATTGTTGACTAGTATATACGACTGTATTTGCTGTAGAACTTGGAGGAGTTAACAGTGAGATAGGAGCCATGAATTCAGTCTGCTGTTAGAGACGGTGTCTTAAAGCCACTCTCTTCCGTAGCGTGACTTCACATGACCCTGGACTGTTGGCAGGACAGTGTGTGTGTGTGTGTGTGTGTGAGGTTCTGTGAACCAGGCCTTTCTTCTGACGGTGTGTGTGTGTGTCTGTGTGTGTGTGTGTGTGTCTGTGTGAGGTTCTGTGAACCAGGCCTTTCCTCTCTGCCGTGCTGTCATCTAGATGGGAATTTCTCCACCTGAAACTGTGGCTCTGGGCTGGATGAGTCACTGCTGTGCAGAGCTGTCCTGTGCACTGTAGGATGCTCAGCAGCATCCCTGCCCTCTGCCACTCAATGCCAGTTGTATCCCCGTGTTGTGACAACCAAAGCTGTCCCCAGATATTGCCAAACGTCCCCTGGGTAGCAAACCACTTCTTCCCGTCTCTGTTGAGAACCGCTGATTGAGATACTCTAAGGAAAGAAGAGAGTTGGGAAGAAAGATGTGCCTTGAAAAGCCATATAAAAAGGGGGAAGGGGAGTCAGTGGTGTGGTGATGCATAGCAACTGACTTTTGGGGATGATCACTTTGTAATGTGTACAGATGTCCAACTATAAAGTTGTACACCTAAAACTTTACATAATTAAAAAACAGAAAAGCCATTTGAGGACCTAATTTAATACCACTTGATTATTCCTCTAACTCATGCATCTCTTAGAACTGTATTCTGGTTATATATTTCAAGATTTTCAGCAAGTGTACATGGCGAGGTAGTTAGTTTATATTGCACAGGCTGAGAGATAGCCGGGCCAGACCATGTGCAGGAAGTGTGAGTTTCGTAAATGACAACAGCAGCCATGCGCCGAGGACATGTTGCTTAGGTTGTAAGAAACTGGTGTCATTGTCTCCTAGGAAGTGTGACAGCTCTCTCTCTCCATAGCACTGTTTGCCTGGGCTCCTAAGCAAGGACCTGTTTTTATATGTGAATGCGGTAGGCAAGACAGAAAGCTATAAAGAACATTTTTACAATCATCTTTAAACCTTCCAACAGTGAAACCACTGTAACAATTTGGTTGGTTGTCTGTGCCAGTCACAGGGCACAGGGTAAGGTCATCATTCTCGTGGCTCTTGAGTGTTCAGTGCCGTGGATACATTTCAGAACTTAACCCTTAGTGTTGGACATTGTTTTGCTATTTATTATTAAAAATCCTGCAAATGAACATCATTCGTATATCCGTTGCATTCTTATATTGTCCTTTTAAGACGAATTCCTCTGCCTAGGATCGCTGGGTCACAGTTTTACCTTTTGCGAGGTCCTCTGAAGTCCAGCTGGCCTGGCATAGCCGTCTGCTGTCCACTCAGCCCGAGTCACGTCTTTTTCTCCACCGACTCCAGCACTGGGGGTCGCGGTGTCTCCCCTTCGGAGCAGGGAGATGAGGTTGGGTTTTCTTTAGCTGTGTTTTTCTTCCAGTGCTTTTTATTGTTACAACAGTATTATAACATTATTAACAATATCCGGTTATTTTTCTAGAGGGGAAAAAGTCCCTCAGAATCCCACCATTATTTCCTAATAAATAGATGTATTTTGTGTGTGTGTGAGTAGAGTCCTTTTCACTATTTTATTTATTGGCCAGAAGAGATAAGAATAGTGGTCTAAAATGTATGAGCTTTTCTTTTTATTTTTTCATTGAAGTCATTTAAATAGATGGTATAAGTAAATAGCACAGAAGGGTATAGAGTGAAAAATAATTCTCCCACCTCTAGATCCCCAGTGCCTTGATCTCTCTCCCCAAAGACAGCCAGCCATAGTTAACATATTTTCAGGTTACCTCTAAAATTAACCTATGTCCACATGAGTACACACATCTATTTCCTTTCTCCGTTCTTAGAGTGTTCTAATACCACAGTTTTGCACCTGCCTTTTTCCCCTTATTAGTGTATCTTGGAAATTATTTCACCTCATTCCAGATGACTCAGCAAGCAAGCACATGGCTGTTAATCGGACATTAGGGCATTAGACTGTGTAATTTATACAGCGTTACCAGGAAGACCCCCATTTGAAACTACAAACCTGAAAGGAACTGATACGTGCATAAGAGAAGCAAGGTATTCCATGCCATCGTCATTGCTGGCCCCTGCTAAGCACTTAACAGCTAGCATGTCCAGAAACCTAGAGGATCGGCCTGGTTTGCATGACTTCATTCGACATGAATGGATCTGCTGATCCTTGCAGTGGCCTCTGGTCAACAGTGGTCGTAATTATGTCATTCACCTTGGTTAGGTCTTGTTTGTCATGGGAGCAGACATTGTCAGGAGCAGTGAAGAACAGACCTTGATCTTCTACCCTGATTCCATTCTCTGGATTTCTCCTAAACATTCAGTTTTCCCTCTTGTGTTCAGACTTTTGTTTGTTTTGTTTTTGGTGCATGCCCCTAGCGGGAACTGAACCCGGAACTCTCTGGTCCTCAGGCTGACGCTCCAACCACTGAGCCAGACGGGCCAGGGCCAGACTTTAAATTTAACCACAGATGTAGACTCTTTTGTTATTTCTTGAGGAGTGGCCATGATCCTGCATTTGTTTTCAATCTGTGTACTTTTGGTCACATGTACCTAAACTGTGCTGGCCACCATCCGTATTTTCAAAAGATTCTATAACGACTTGTGAACTAAATAGAACACGGCTCCAGCCACGTCAGCGCTGTGCGTGTTGGGGCACTTGGGTGGTAGGGGCTTGACCTTTTTGGCATCACCTGCCTCCTCATGTCCTATTTCTAAATCACAGGGGACTTTGCCTGTAGCATAAACTTGACTGAGAGTACTGTGAGGAGTAATAGTGGATATAAGAACGGGGCTAAGCTTTGGGGAGCGTGACTTCTTTCTTAGTCTGGGGTCTTGGTGAATATGTTATAGCCAATCAGAATAAGTCAATAAAGCAAATTATTGGCTCAGTTGGGGGAAAAAAGGAGGTAACAGCAGAAGGTGATGAAGAATTTCCAGAGCTTCTTATATGAACTTAAAACAACTTCAGCTTTTTTCTCTACAATAGAACATTCTCTTGGCTCTTATTTTAAAATCTGTGTATAGATTATCTACTTTGAATTACTTCATTCGATCCTCCCTGGCAAATTATGTATTCCAACGGGTCCTGCTACCAGCCTGCAGGGCTGCCCCGCCCCGTGGCCCACAGAAAACGAAACCTGGCCTGGAAGGGCGTCTGCCCCCAACAGTGTCTCTCATGTGAATCACATTGTTTTTCTCAGACCAAATGGAAATTGCATTTTCCATTTTCCATTGTAGGTTTCTTGGGTGCTGCTTTGTTTCCTTAGAGGAATGAACTGCAGAGTGTTCAATTTAGTGTTGATTTGTTTAGTTTTACGCATGCAGATTTTCCTAGAGTGGAAGTTCTCAGAGGTGGAGGGTGGCCTAACTCATCGTGGCTGGGCATGACTAACTGCAGTATGGGTGACGGTGGTGGCAGTGCGGACCTATCGTGGCTGAGCAGGGAGCAGGCTGTCACTTCATAACAGGCGAGACTCCATTCGGGTTTCTTTTCAAAAATGGCCTTTTCCCAAAATGATGCCTCTGCTTCCTAACACCCACAAATGTCCATTTTCGACGCTTCTGCCACCACCCAGTCAGGGCTGTGCATGGGGGAACCAAGTCAGTTTTCGTCTGGTCTTAAATATCTGACAGGACCCTGGAATGAACAAATGCAGGATCATGGTCCATCACCTGATCCAAGAGCTGCTTCCCAGGCTCCATCCCCAGGCAAAAATAGCCACAACCTGGGGAATAGGTTTGGGATGATGGGCTGATTTTGTCTTATTGATAAGACTTTTCATTTTTCTTGTTTCATTAAAATGGTCTTGGGCCAAGGCAAGCGATGCTACAGATGTCATTCAAGAGGCTCGTTGTTATTTTAATGAGTCTGCATTAAACTGCAGGAAATTAGAGGGCCCGGGTAGTTGAACTGTGGAAAATTACAGCTGGAGAAATTCATAGCTCTTCTGTCATAATGGAATTCGGCGCTGGCGGCTGCTGAGAGGGCGAAAGTGCGTCTCGAGAATCGTATATACTGTGTGTTTATAAGGGATCGTTTCTCTTCCCTCTGTTGTACCTTTATTTATTTATTTATTTTTATGAGCAAGTGTATCCATTTGAAAACCTAATTTCCTCTCCTAGATGATTTACTGCATGCGACTGCCTCATACTACTTTATACTACTGTCATTAACTCAGGGTTACGACGGTTAACAAGCTCTTTCCAGACAACCCCGCTCCACAGTAGGGTCCCTTCCCAGAGCTGGAATGAACTTTACCTCCAGAAATCTCTGGCAATTACGTATTCAAATACAGTGGGAAGTGTCTTTGTAAAAAATTCTCCCCCTTTTCTATCTTAATAAGAGGCGGATGCTTGGGTCTGACCCCCGTGGGTCAGGTAGATGTCAGGGTACTGAGAAACCTGAAGTTCGGTTCCACTCGGCCCACCGCTGTGCTGCCCTGCGGACCGGGCTGAGGCGGGCGGAGGGCCGGGTCCCACCTTACATTCCTTATTAACTGCAAAGTGAGCTCAGTCTGGATCTAGGCTCGGAGCGTGTGTCACTGAGGTAGTGATGGCCTTTCCTTTTGCTCTGAAGAAGCTCAGATCGTGGCTTACACACGTCGTCCTGGGAGTGAGGCAGGGCTGCTCGTGAGTTCACCTTGGCCGTAGGTCCATGCCGGCAGCTGAGGCCCTCGCTGTCTCCCCACTTCCACCTCCTCTTCCGGGGCTGGAGTCTTTGAGTTTCCTCCATGGTCCCCGGACACTAACGAGATTCCCTCTGAATAGTTTCCAATAAATACATGGCCGACTTTTATTTATTCATTACTTACTTTGTGCCAGGCACTGTGCTACAGGAAACGAAGGTGAACAGAGCCTAGTCCTGATGTCAAGAAGCTTGCAGCCTGGTGAGGGGGACGGAAGAGAGAGTCCGTGTCCTGGGCTAAATGCCAGCGTAGAGTAGGGCAGGGGTGCAGCAGAGGCTGCTTGGGAGACGACATGCAGCTGCTTCGTGGGTCACATCCTGAGGTTCTCGGAACACGCGTGCTCTCTTCTCGGTCATACAGATCCCAGGTTGTGGGCCACACACAGCTCTAGAGTGAGGTACTCTTTGGTGTCTTGGGAACCTGCCTCCACCTCGGTTCTGAGATGATGAAACCGGAGAACAGCCAGCAGCTAGAGGGCCCAGGGAGAGAAAGGGGTGTGTGCTGGTTTCCAGGGCGCTTTGCCGTCCCCGGGCCCCCGTCTCATCGGGACATTGAGGGTGTTCCCTGTGTGCCGCTCTGTGTTCTCAGCACCCCGGGTGTTTGTTTCCCAGGTGGCCAAGCGAGCGGTCTTACTGTCGGGCACACCAGCCATGTCGCGACCCGCAGAACTCTACACGCAGATCATCGCCGTCAAGCCGACCTTCTTCCCTCAGTTCCATGCCTTCGGACTTCGCTACTGTGACGCCAAGCGGGTACTTATTCTCTTGTCACCAGCCCACCCGTCTGCCACCTGGGTTTTGACACTTACTTTCTGTTTCTTCTTTTTGGCCATGGTATGATCAGAAGGGCGCGGACCAGGGAGCTGAACTAGGGTTTTAGCTCTATTCTCCCCTAATTCTGACCTGGGAGTGCCCTTGGGTAAGAGAAGAACAGTCCCTCCTAGTTTTAGTGCTTATGATGATTCCAGGTTAATGTTTTCCAATAAAGCGACCAGTGGCTAATCTGTAAGCGCACGGTGCTCGGAGAACTGGAGCTCTTGCCAGCGAGAATGGCTCTGAAGTCAGTGGGCAGTGAGGCCGAGGCCCTAGACAGAGAGAAGAGAGGAGATGAGGTGGATGAAGGTCACTTGGCACGGGAGGAGTGTGAAAACATCCTCTGAGGAGGTGAAAAAACACTATGTAAGAAAGGCAAAGGAAGCCTTGGAGCAGGTGGAGTGCACAGCGTGATCCCAAGCTGCCTCGGGTGGGCTGTCACGGGTGAGCCTTGGGTCGTCGTAGTGGGTGGGGCCTCTGGCCTGCATGGTATTTCCATGAACACAGTGCCAGTTCCTCAGGAGCTACAGCCTGTGGCTTCCATCCTCCACAAGTGGCAGAGGAAGCCTTGTAAACACACAGGCCATTGCAGTGAAAATGATCTAAAACCTCAGTTATTTTAAGTGGAAAAAAAAAATGTGTATTTAATGACATGGGGAAATACAAGAGTGGAAAAAAATAGGATGCAAAACTTTGCTTCCCTTCGTCCATTTCTTCCTACCTTCCTCCCATCCTCCTTCCCTCCCCTCCTCTCTCCTCTCTCTTCCTCTCTCAGGTATGACTAGAAGGTAATGTACACCAAGATGATTACTCTCATAAGCAGAGAAAAGCAACGTTATCTGCTGGGCTGCTGAGTCCATTGGTGCTCGTTAGCCTGATCAAGCCAGCTGAGCATGGGACATTGTTCTCTTCTAGGCTCTCTGTGTCTCTTCCCAGACCACCCACTTCACAACAGCGCCCTGCAGACTAAGACCGACTGTGGAGAGATACATGTGTCGCTCAGCTTTCGTCTTGGTCCCCCAGTACCTCACTTTTGAATATAGGTCATAAAAATTCTAGCCACTACAAATGTTCTCTCGTGTAAGCCAGAGGGAAAGAGCCAAGGAGTTTGGGGGGGGGGGGGGGCTAGTTTTCTCTTTTGTCACTGAATCTCTTCATCAGCCAGTAGATCCCATGTCACGTGCATCGGGTGTGTGATCTCCCTCTTTGCATGGGTGAATTTTGCAGAGATTCCCTGTGCTGGGACTCTCCAGACATGGCATAAGCCTTGGCTGGTAACATGCTCAGGTCTGCAGTTTGCGGACTGACTTCCGTGAACAGAGAGACAGAGAAAGGGCCTGCTGCTTGTGCCGGGGGTCCGGGCATGGTTCCTTCCCAGCTGCAGTTCTCTCATCTGACTGATCAGATCTGGCCTCCTCTCACCCTTGGCAACAGTAATGTTGCCACTTGCCTTTTCAGAGTGTGCCGGAGCTAATGTGACCTGCAGATGGCCAGGGAGGCTCTGCCCCAGCAGTGGCGAGGTCTTTCTCCCCGACTTGTCATCCACAGATGCCTCCCTTACATAGTTTCTTTCAGCTCCTTCGAGCTTCTCTCCGCCGTCTGCGGGTTGAACTAGACTCCCTGCTGTGATTCCAGCGGCCAGGCCACCCCAGTGAGGGGAGCATGGCCTGCGCTTCCAGGACGGCCGTTCTGTTCCGGTCGTGGCCATGCCTTCCTTCCAGGTCAGCCGTGTTCTTGGAGCACCCAGTCTGTTTCTTGGCCTGAGCGGGGAGCCCCTCAGTGTCAGGCAGCCAGAGCCAGGTTGGCCAAAGCCTGTGTACATTTCCATTGTTTTCCCCAAACATAACCTGAGGAAGGATGACCCAGTGCATCAGCTCCTTGTTTGTGTGGGTGTTCATTTTCCCCTGCATCAGCTGAGCTGGGTGTTTTCTGTGATCGGGCTGCTTTCTCTTTGGGAGGAACACATAGTCTAGGACCTTCTCCTTCTTGGCTTAGCGCCTTCCCTGTCTCAGACCACTGGTGGGACAGCTCGTCTGTTGGCTGCTGTGCTGGGCTCTTGGTTTCTCTGATGATGGAAGCACACTCCTTGCTGACAGGTAGGGTGTGGCTGCAGCTGGCCTCCTCCTTCCTGAGCCCGCGTAGCTCTCTCTGATCCAGCCTCCAGAATATCCATAGTCTGAAAACCAGAGGAAGAGTCACTGATTCTCTTCCTAATTCCTGCTCTCCTCCTCAGTAAGTAAGGTGCGTCTTCTCAGCGCCCGTTTTCCATGAGTTCCACGTGGCCGTGACCGGACCTCACACTCAGCTCTCTCCAGGGCAGGTTGTTCCCAGCAGCTCTGCTGTGACTAAGCCCTGGGCCACGCCTGCACCCCCTCTGCCTCTTTCTGTGGGCGGCGCCTCTGCCACAGAGCACTGGCTGGGCTCCAAGTCCTCGCCATTCAGACCCTAAGGCTCCCTGCTTTGTGAGCAATCGCACATATACGAGCCACTGTGCGCGAGCTCACAGCCTTGGAGACCTGGCTGCAGGCGACGCGTGGCCATGCCCTTCGTGAGAGCAGAGCTTCGTGTGCAAGTTCACGTGCAAGTGAGACTGAGTGCCTTACTTTTAGATCCTTTTTTTTAGAGAAAATAAAACATTTCAAGTACTTTGAAAGTATCCACTTACATTCAGATAAAGTATATTGTAAATTGTACTGCTTTGCAAAGTTAATTGCAAACTATTTTTAGCTTGTTACTGAGACAGGAAATTTCTCAGTCATTCAATAAACTTTACCATTTTAATAAATTTGTGTAGCACTCTCCTCATGAGTCAATCCAGCCTGTATATAGTTTTCATGGTCCCTCAAAACTCTTGGTGTATGATTTGTACCTTTGTCCTATTTGCAAAGAATCCACTTTCTGAGAAGGATCTTTCCTTCCTTGACTTTCTGGGCCCATCGGGTAATAGTCAGCAAGTGATGGAAAGGGCTGAAGATAAAAGTCATTGCCTTTCCCCTCAAACTGCCCCTTCCTGTGCTCCTAGCCGCCCTCCACCGTCTCCCTAGGCTCTCGTGCCCTCCTCGTCCACCCCTTCCTCCTCCTCGCTGCCCCTTCCTGTGCTCCTAGTCTCCCCCCACCGTCTCCCTAGGCTCTCGTGCCCTCCTCGTTAATCCCTTTCCTCCTCGCTGCCCCTTCCTGTGCTCCTAGTCTCCCCCACTGTCTCCCTAGGCTCTCGTGCACTCCTCGTCCACCCTTTCCTCCCCCTCTGCCCCTTCCTGTGCTCCTAGTCTCCCCCCACCGTCTCCCTAGGCTCTCGTGCCCTCCTCGTCCACCCTTTCCTCCCCCTCTGCCCCTTCCTGTGCTCCTAGTCTCCCCCCACCGTCTCCCTAGGCTCTCGTGCCCTCCTCGTCCACCCTTTCCTCCCCCTCTGCCCCTTCCTGTGCTCCTAGTCTCCCCCCACCGTCTCCCTAGGCTCTCGTGCCCTCCTCGTCCACCCTTTCCTCCCCCTCTGCCCCTTCCTGTGCTCCTAGTCTCCCCCCACCGTCTCCCTAGGCTCTCGTGCCCTCCTCATTCACCCTTTCCTCCTCCTCGCTGCCCCTTCCTGTGCTCCTAGTCTCCCCCACCGTCTCCCTAGGCTCTCGTGCCCTCCTCGTCCACCCTTTCCTCCTCCTCGCTGCCCCTTCCTGTGCTCCTAGTCTCCCCCACCGTCTCCCTAGGCTCTCGTGCCCTCCTCGTTCACCCCTTTCCTCCTCCTCGCTGCCCCTTCCTGTGCTCCTAGTCTCCCCCACCGTCTCCCTAGGCTCTCGTGCCCTCCTCGTCCACCCTTTCCTCCTCCTCGCTGCCCCTTCCTGTGCTCCTAGTCTCCCCCACCGTCTCCCTAGGCTCTCGTGCCCTCCTCGTTCACCCCTTTCCTCCTCCTCGCTGCCCCTTCCTGTGCTCCTAGTCTCCCCCACCGTCTCCCTAGGCTCTCGTGCCCTCCTCGTCCACCCTTTCCTCCTCCTCGCTGCCCCTTCCTGTGCTCCTAGTCTCCCCCACCGTCTCCCTAGGCTCTCGTGCCCTCCTCGTCTACCCTTTCCTCCTCCTCGCTGCCCCTTCCTGTGCTCCTAGTCTCCCCCCACCATCTCCCTAGGCTCTCGTGCCCTCCTCGTTCACCCCTTTCCTCCTCCTCGCTGCCCCTTCCTGTGCTCCTAGTCTCCCCCACCATCTCCCTAGGCTCTCGTGCCCTCCTCGTTCACCCCTTTCCTCCTCCTCGCTGCCCCTTCCTGTGCTCCTAGTCTCCCCCACCGTCTCCCTAGTCTCTCGTGCCCTCCTCGCTCACCCTTTCCTCCTCCTCGCTGCCCCTTCCTGTGCTCCTAGTCTCCCCCACCGTCTCCCTAGGCTCTCGTGCCCTCCTCATTCACCCTTTCCTCCTCCTCGCTGCCCCTTCCTGTGCTTCTAGTCTCCCCCCACCGTCTCCCTAGGCTCTCGTGCCCTCCTCGTCCACCCCTTCCTCCTCCTCGCTGCCCCTTCCTGAGACCACCCAGTGAAACGGTCAGACACAGTGCCTTTCTTGTCTGTGTGTTCTCCCTGCTACCCAGCCCAGGGCCTGGTACGTGGTTCTTTTTTTTTCAATTTTTATTAATTTATTTTTGTTACAGATGTTTTTCCTTTTTCCCCCCTATACACCATTCCCCCCCTCCCCCAGCATTGTTGTCTGTGTCCATTGGTTATGCATACATGCATATAAGTTCTTTGGTTCATCTCATCCATCCCCCCTGCCCCCTCCTCTGAGGTTTGTCCATCTGAACCGTACTCCTTTCTATGTCTCTGGTCTATTTCGTTCATCAGCCCACCTTGTTCATTATATTCCACAAATAAGAGATCATGTGGTATTTGTCTTTCTCTGATTGGCTTGTTTCACTTAGGGTAATATTCTCAAAGTCCCTTCGTGTCATCTCAAAAGATAAGAGATCTTTCTTTCTTACAGCTGCGTAGTACTCCATTGTGTATATGTACCACAGCTTTTTTATCCATTCGTCTACTGATGGACACTTGGGCTGTTTCCAGAGCTTAGCTATTGTAAATAGTGCTGCTATGAACATAGGGGTGCATATATTCTTTCTGATTGGTGTTTCAGGCTTCTTAGGTTATATTCCTAGAAGTGGGATCACTGGGTCAAATGGAAGTTCAATTTTTTAAGGATACACCATATTGTTTTCCACAGTGGCTGCACCAGTCTGCATTCCCACCAGCAGTGTACTAGAGTCCCCTTTTCTCCACACCCTCGCCAACACTTGTTTGATGATTTGTTGATGGCGGCCATGCTGGCAAGTGTGAGGTGATGCCTCATTGTTGTTTTAATTTGCATCTCTCTGATGATTAGTGACATTGAGCATTTCTTCATGTCTCTTGGCCATTTGTATGTCCTGTTTGGAGAGGTGTCTATTTAGGTCCTCTGCCCATTTTTTAATTGGGTTCTTTGTCTTCCTTTTGTTGAGTTGTATGAGCACTCTATATATTTTGGAAATTAACCCCTTATCTGATGTATAATTGGCTATGATGCTCTCCCATACAGTGGGTTCCCTTTCCATTTTGATGGTTGTTTCTTTTGCTGTGCAGAAGCTTTTGAGTTTGATGTAGTCCCATGTGTTCATTTTCTCCTTTGTTTCTGTTGCCTTAGGTGATGTATCATGGTACGTTTTTAATAAAAGCTTGTTGGACTGTGATTTTTCCAAAGCCCAATTTAAAATCTTTAGTATTGGGTTTTAACCTGTAAGATTAAGAGCTGACAATATTAGAACTTAGGAGCATGATTTCCAAATTAATTATGATATCCTCTTGTCCTCAGCATGATTTGTATTTCATGCAGCCGGTAGGTCAGGGCTTCTCTTGTGTGTGTGGCCAGCTACTGGCATTAATAGAAGAGAGTGCCCCATGCCAAGCTCATTTTGACTCCATAGCATGAAGGCATTTGCTGAGAACTTCCAGTTGATTTCAGAGTAATTTTTTAAAAGAGAAGCAGTTTTAATTATTTCTCTACCTTTGACTTTCTCCTTATATTTTCAGTTCAGCAAAGGTTTCTAGGACAGCTGCCGTGTCTCCACAATTACACTAGGTCCTCTGGCCCTGGAAGTTGAACGAGGTTCGCCCTCACCCTAGGTAGTCCAGGGGAGGGGAGGCAGGAGTGGAGATGTGTGGCTAAAAATATGAGGAGGCAGACACCCTGGCTCCCCGCTTTTTTATAAGACTGTAAATGTCTGTCCAGTTTCAGGAAGATTGTCAGTGAAAGGCAGGGTTCTTGTTTTAATTGGCATTGTCTTCTGTAGCTGTGTGGCAAGGAGCAGACATTCTCACTCACTGCCTCCCATGAGCAAACGAGGGAGCCAGGTTCACGAAGGACCAGCTCTGGTTTCAGCCAGACTGGCAAACCTGTGTTCCGGCCCCTCCGCGCAGCCCCCACCACCAGCCCTGCAGCCGTGTCTACGCCACTGCTCTTGGCTGTGTTGGTGTGAGCCACACTGGGGGACAACAGGTCTTTAAATCCCCATAAATCTCATAAATAAAGACGTCACTGACACTAGTTATCACATTGTACAGTGGACTCCGTAGAATAAGCCCCAGGGAATGTCGCTTCTGTGTTTAATGTACAAGAAGATTCTGACAGGCCGAGTGTCTTGTTTGTTTATTAATGTGATGGACACCAAACCGCTGGCATCTTGCATTTGCTGCTAGAAAGCAAATTAGTTCCGATTGGTAGAAGGCCATGGCACGTGACCTTTGTCCACCTCGTTCCTGACTTCTTTCCCCTTTCCCTCCTGTGTCTCACATGGGATTTGAGTCATCCTTAGAGTCACGTGGTGTCTCTGCACGCAGCTGGGGAGGGAAGGTTGTGGGAGCAGAAGCCCCCTGGGGGAATCTCACGGCGTGTCTCGGTCCTCCCTCCACAGCATCAGTGGGGATGGGATTACTCGGGCTCCTCCAACCTGGGAGAGCTGAAGCTCCTGCTGGAGGAAGCGGTCATGCTGCGGCGCCTCAAGTCGGACGTCCTCTCCCAGCTCCCAGCCAAGCAGCGCAAGATGGTGGTGGCGGCCCCGGGCCGGATCAGCGCCAAGGCCAGAGCGTCCCTGGATGCCGCGGCCAGGGAAATGACCACCAAGGACAAATCTGTGAGTCGGGCTGGAGGTGGACGTTGCGTTCCTGGGTGTTTCTTCCGGGAAGGGGCTCTGTGGAGATTACCCAGTTCTCCGAACCTGCCTGTCCGTCATCCCTCCCCACCTCCCTGGCAAGGACAGTGAGCCGTTCCCTTCTCAGCCGACCTAGGCTGTTTCGAAATTCTGTTAATTCACAGTTTTATGCTTGTGTAGATCACTGTTGATGGACAGTCATGAAAACAAGCCTCGGCAACTGCAGGGTGATAGTACGTGTTCCAAATCCCTCGGAGAAAGTTGGAATTTTTGCTTAGTGTATTTTGAGAATGCCCCAATATGGGAACAGTTGTTAGAAATTAGTTCTACGTGTATTTGATATTTTGGGGCTCTTTCCCCTATGGTGGTTCTATCTTTTCAAAACACTTTTCATTTTATACCTGTTGTTAGTGTCTCACTGTGCTAAGTGCCGCAGGGTGATCTGCCCCAGCCCCATCTCTGTCCTCTTGGGAGAGAACCTGCGATTTTCATTGCTAAGAAAGTAACAGTCATTGGCATTTTTTGACATTATTATAAAGTATTATCTGGGCTTGATATCCCCCTGTATAAAGAGACTTAGATGTAGATGAGCTGTCAGCATCTGGAAGATTACACAATAAGTAAGAACCACAGGAGACAGAATGTGTGTTTTTTTTTAAAAATGTTATTTTACCATGTGATTGGGCAGACTAACTGGTGACTTTTAAGAAGCAGAGGGTCGGGTAGGAGGTGCACGGCCCACTGGTCGAGCTGTATGTAACGTACACGGTATTGCATAGAACAGTCTGGCCGGCCTGGCGGGAGGAGCAGGCGCAGCCTCGGCCGGGGGTTTCCACGCACTTCACAGCGTCGGCGTGGCCGTGCGCACCGCGGGTCTGAGATTCTGGCTCTGTGGAGCCACGAGGAACCAGGGCCTTCTGTAGCCAAAGTTAGTCTCGGTGGTCTTTTCTGATTTCTAGAGATAAAATTCAATTCTTTCTCAATTTTAAGTTTTTTCTTATAACTTTCTTAAACCATTAATATCTACTAAGTTCTGTCCACTTGTGAAGTCTGCCAGATAAGAGAGTCAGTGAATAAGTACAGCAAATAGAACATTAATGGAAAAAAGTCAGATGTGACATTTTTAGATGCAAAGACCTGACTATTTATCAAATGCTGTGTTCCAGTTCCTCGTGTGTATGACGGGAGTGCGTTGTCGGTGTCATGGGCTTCCCCGGAGAGCACCCCTTGTGCCTGGTGCACCTCCTGGATCAGGCTGAGAGCAGCCAACACAGACAACTGCAAGAGCAGTCAGTGGGCGTTAGAAATGGGGACAAAAGTCCCATTAACTGCCCTGGCTGGTTTGGCTCAGCGGTTAGAGCGTCGGCCTGTGGTCCTGAGAGACCCGGGTTCGGTTCCTGCTAAGGGCGCGTACCTCGGTTGCAGTTTGTCCCCGGCCCTGGTTGGTTGTGCGGGTGGCAGCCATTCGATGTGTCCCTTTCACATCGATGTTTCTCTCTCTCTCTGTTCCTCTCTCCCTCCCACTCTACCTGAACAAAAAATGGAAAAATGTCCTCGGTTGAGGATAAAAAAAAAAAATAGAAAGTCCCATTAACTGGCCAGGAGGCAACTGTGAATTGTGCCGTGTGGTCAAAAAGAGATGTGTGGGAATCACACACTTAGTGCAGCAAGGTTTGGTTGCATCTTTAAACTTCCCGCCGGCTTGCACAGTGCCTCAGGTTAGGTGAGTGGCTCTTTCAGTGATTTCAGATGTACCCTGAGAGTTTTATTTCCGAGATTATGGCAGGGACGTGGAATTGACTGGCTGAGCCATGGGAACCACAATGCCGGGTGTTTTGTAACTCTGGTAACTACTCAAATCCCTTAAGTTATTTGGGATATTTTGATGTTTTCTTACCTAAAAAACGGAAGCCGTGGCCTGCCTCATGGGCTTGGTGCTGGAAAAATCCATCAGGAAAACGCCGACTGCTCAGAATCCACCTGCAGGGTGATTAGCATCTCTGCTTCTTCAGCATCCCAGAGTCTTAATGGTATTTTGCAGATTATGAAAATGAAGGCTAAATTGCAGTGTGATTCTTCAAGGATCCAGCAGAGAAAGAGCCTCGAGCTCTCCAGGCCCATGCGAGACAGCTGCTGTGTGCTGCCACGGGGCCCTGGGAAAGGGAGTTGTCCCTGAGAGAAGCGAGTCCACGGAGACCCTCAGCGTGATGCTGAAGCCAGATACCACATTCTTCCTGAGAGTAAGATGAACCCTTGGAAGTGGTTCTCCTCTGTGTTCTTTCATGTACATTCATTTTTATAATGAAGAATCCACGCAGAAACAAGTCTGTGAGCTTTGCGGTTTGACCATCAGAACTGTTTTTACTCTGAAGCCACCGATTTGGCACCAGCCTGACTTCACTCAGGAAGGGGAGCCGTTGTCCCCTGGGAGCTGGACTAGATGGCCGGAGACACCCCTTCCGAACCCTGGGCAGCTGTGAAACCCTGAGCCAGGGGAGTTGAAATGGGGAATCCTGGTTCCATGGTTTGGGCCAGATAAGGAGGCCCTCTGATCTGTAGAAGCCCCTCCCCCCATTTTTATAATTACTCTTTGGGCCCAGGCTCTCCTGCAGTTTTGTACAGTACGGTGGCTCCAGCAAAGCACTGTTGACCCGTCAAGAAGTGATTTTTATTTTGCTCCCTCACACCTTCCCATCTGGAGGAAGACATTTTTTAAAAAAGCTTTAAGTCACAGAAGTCAAGGTAAAACATCCAATTTGTAAAATATAATGTATAACTAAAGCCTTTTCTCATTCTCAGCTGAAATAGTAGATACCTTTTCACAGGCTAAGAAAAGCTGGCTCTAATCATCTTTTGTCTAAGGCCGTGTTTTGATCAGCAAGACCAAGAGCAGAAACGTGGAACCAGGCCGTGCAGACTTCCTGGTGACGGTGTCAGTTCCCCCCTGCCTTCGACAGCACATGCACATTTCCAGCCTAGAAAAAGCAAGGGGAAGCCCCAGGAGGTCTAATTTAATAAAAGTCTAGGAGACAGGAACCAAAAATGCAGGTGATTTAAAATTTCCTGGCCTGTGGCTTGCAAAAGAAATGAGATCATTAATGGACTAGGATTCTGTCTACCCAGTGTTGGGCAGTTTTTTGTGTTTTTTTTTTTTTTTTAAGATAAAACTATTGAGTTCTAATTCAGTAGATGTCTATTGTATAAAATCTGAAAAGTAAAGGAAAATACTTATAATAAGTAATATTTATTAAACATGTTTTATTACTACATATAAAAAAGATTCACCTTTTCAATCACCTAAGTTTAGCATTTATTATTTGGATTTTTAAAATAGAGTGTATGTATATTTTGCTTTAAAATGTGTTATTTATATATAGTTGTATATGTAAATATATAAAACCTATGTTTGTAATAAGCAATATATATTTAAAGCAGAATTGTAATCCTATAAACATACATATAGTGAGGAACAAAACAGGTTACAATACTATATCATGAATACTCTTCCGTGTTGTTAAATGCTCTTTTAAAACATATTTAAACAGGATATGGTTATTTTAAAATTTTGTCAGCCATTTTTAGTTGGATATTATAGTTAATTCAACTGTTTAACTATTCTGAACTGCACTGGACAAGTAGCTTACATGTGAATTTGTGTGCATCCAATGATATCATGAGGGTAAATTTTAAGGAGTAAGTTTCTAGGTCATAGCGTTGGGCATTTTTGTTTGTTTTTCACTGATTTTAGACAGAAGAAGGGACAGAGAGAGAAACATCAGTTGGGAGAGAGAAACACCGATGAGTTGCTTTCTGCATGCACCCCAACCAGGGATCAAACCCGCAACCCGGATATGTACCCTGACTGGGAATCGAACTGAGCCACACTGGCCAGGGTGGGTTGGTGTGTTTTGAAGGCTTTGGCACACACTGACAGGGCGCTCCCTTTGGCACACACTGACAGGGCACTCCCCTTGGTACACACTGACAGTGCGCTCCCTTTGGTACACACAGAGCGCTCCCTTTGGCACACACTCACAGGGCGCTCCCTTTGGCACTCACAGGGCGCTCCCTTTGGCACTCACAGGGCGCTCCCTTTGGTACACACAGAGCGCTCCCTTTGGTACACCCTGACAGGGCGCTCCCTTTGGTACACACAGAGCACTCCCTTTGGCACACACTCACAGGGCGCTCCCTTTGGTACACACAGAACACTCCCTTTGGCACACACTCACAGGGCGCTCCCTTTGGTACACACAGAGCACTCCCTTTGGCACACACTGAAAGGGCGCTCCCTTTGGCACACACTCACAGGGCGCTCCCTTTGGCACACACAGAGCACTCCCTTTGGCACACACTCACAGGGCGCTCCCTTTGGTACACACAGAACACTCCCTTTGGCACACACTCACAGGGCGCTCCCTTTGGTACACACAGAGCACTCCCTTTGGCACACACTGAAAGGGCGCTCCCTTTGGCACACACTCACAGGGCGCTCCCTTTGGCACACACTCACAGGGCGCTCCCTTTAGCACACACTCACAGGATGATCCCTTTGGCACACACTCACAGGGTGATCCCTTTGGCACACACTCACAGGGCGATCCCTTTGGCACACACTCACAGGATAATCCCTTTGACACACACAGGGCGATCCCTTTGGCACACACTCATAGGGCACTCCCTTTGGCACACACTCACAGGATGATCCCTTTGGCACACACAGGGCGATCCCTTTGGTACACACAGAACACTCCCTTTGGCACACACTCACAGGGCGCTCCCTTTGGTACACACAGAGCACTCCCTTTGGCACACACTGAAAGGGCGCTCCCTTTGGTACACACAGAGCACTCCCTTTGGCACACACTCACAGGGCGCTCCCTTTGGTACACACAGAGCACTCCCTTTGGCACACACTGAAAGGGCGCTCCCTTTGGCACACACTCACAGGGCGCTCCCTTTGGCACACACTCACAGGGCGCTCCCTTTGGTACACACAGAGCACTCCCTTTGGCACACACTGAAAGGGCTCTCCCTTTGGCACACACTCACAGGGCGCTCCCTTTGGTACACACAGAGCACTCCCTTTGGCACACACTGAAAGGGCGCTCCCTTTGGCACACACTCACTGGGTGATCCCTTTGGCACACACTCACTGGGTGATCCCTTTGGCACTCACAGGGCGCTCCCTTTGGCACACACCGAGCACTCCCTTTGGCACTCACAGGGCACTGCCTTTGGCACACACTGAAAGGGCTCTCCCTTTGGCACACACTCACAGGGCGCTCCCTTTGGTACACACAGAGCACTCCCTTTGGCACACACTGAAAGGGCGCTCCCTTTGGCACACACTCACTGGGTGATCCCTTTGGCACACACTCACAGGGTGATCCCTTTGGTACACACAGAGCACTCCCTTTGGCACACACTCACAGGGCGCTCCCTTTGGTACACACTCACAGGGCGCTCCCTTTGGCACACACCGAGCACTCCCTTTGGCACTCACAGGGCACTCCCTTTGGCACACACTCACAGGGTGATCCCTTTGGTACACACAGAGCACTCCCTTTGGCACACACTCACAGGGCGCTCCCTTTGGCACACACTCACAGGGCGCTCCCTTTGGTACACACTCACAGGGCACTCCCTTTGGCACACACTCACAGGGCGCTCCCTTTGGTACACACAGAGCACTCCCTTTGGCACACACTGAAAGGGCGCTCCCTTTGGCACACACTCACAGGGCACTCCCTTTGGCACACACTCACTGGGCGATCCCTTTGGCACTCACAGGGCGCTCCCTTTGGCACACACTCACAGGGTGATCCCTTTGGTACACACAGAACACTGCCTTTGGCACACACTCACAGGGTGATCCCTTTGGTACACACAGAACACTCCCTTTGGCACACACTCACAGGGTGATCCCTTTGGTACACACAGAACACTCCCTTTGGCACACACTCACTGGGTGATCCCTTTGGCACACACTGACTGGGTGATCCCTTTGGCACTCACAGGGCGCTCCCTTTGGCACACACCGAGCACTCCCTTTGGCATTCACAGGGCACTCCCTTTGGCACACACTCACAGGGTGATCCCTTTGGTACACACAGAGCACTCCCTTTGGCACACACTCACAGGGCACTCCCTTTGGTACACACTCACAGGGCGCTCCCTTTGGCACATACTCACAGGGCGCTCCCTTTGGTACACACAGAAACTCCCTTTGGCACACACTCACAGGGCGCTCCCTTTGGTACACACAGAGCACTCCCTTTGGCACACACTCACAGGGCGATCCCTTTGGCACACACTCACAGGGTGATCCCTTTGGCACACACTCACGGGACGATCCCTTTGGCACTCATAGGGCGATCCCTTTGGCACTCACAGAGCACTCCCTTTGGCACACACTCACAGGGTGATCCCTTTGGTACACACAGAGCACTCCCTTTGGCACACACTCACAGGGCGCTCCCTTTGGTACACACAGAGCACTCCCTTTGGCACACACTCACAGGGCGCTCCCTTTGGCACACACTCACAGGGCGCTCCCTTTGGTACACACTCACAGGGCACTCCCTTTGGCACACACTCACAGGGCGCTCCCTTTGGTACACACAGAGCACTCCCTTTGGCACACACTCACAGGGCGCTCCCTTTGGTACACACAGAGCACTCCCTTTGGCACACACTGAAAGGGCGCTCCCTTTGGCACACACTCACAGGGCACTCCCTTTGGCACACACTCACAGGGTGATCCCTTTGGCACTCATAGGGCGATCCCTTTGGCACTCACAGGGCGCTCCCTTTGGCACTCACAGGGCGCTCCCTTTGGCACTCACAGGGCACTCCCTTTGGCACACACTCACAGGGCGATCCCTTTGGCACACACTCACAGGGTGATCCCTTTGGCACACACTCACGGGACGATCCCTTTGGCACTCATAGGGCGATCCCTTTGGCACTCACAGAGCACTCCCTTTGGCACACACTCACAGGGCAATCCCTTTTGCACACACTCACGGGGCAATCTCTTTGGCTCACACTCACAGGGCGATCCCTTTGGCACACACCCACAGGGCGCTCCCTTTGGCACTCACAGGGCACTCCCTAACAGTCGGCCAGGGTGCCATCCCACCAACCATGTGCAGTAAAGGTGTTTGTTTCCTTGCATCTGCATCAGCTCTACGTGGCAAATCTTTGGGCAAGTTTCTGAAAGTGCCTTTCACTGTTTCTCCTGTGTGTTCACCCGTGATCTTTCTTGTTAGCAAGTGTGGAGTGAGCGCAGGTGGGAGGGATAGCCCTGGTGAGAGTAATGACAGTGTCCGAAGGACGCAGAGGTAAAACTGGAGACTGAAGATGCCTGGGGGGCGGTTGCAGATGTGCTGCGGTGAGGTCATCACAGGGAAGCCTGGCTTTGTCCCCCTACTAGGGACCACGTTAGGTTAGAGGGCCTGTCCTGCAGCAGGGGGCCCTTTGAGGGTGCACGAATGGACTTCGTGAAGTTTGTGAGCTCATTGTCCACAGGCGAAAGTCTGTGTGTGTGTTCAGAGCCTCTTCAGAGAGTAGACTGGGCCTGTAGCTGAGAAACAAGCTGAGATACACTGCCCTGGAGCCCGGGCCTGTGGCTGAGAAGCAAGGGGAGACGCACTGCCCTGGAGCCCGGGCCTGTGGCTGAGAAACAAGGGGAGACGCACTGCCCTGGAGCCCGGGCCCGTGACTGAGAAACAAGGGGAGACGCACTGCCCTGGAGCCCGGGCCTGTGGCTGAGAAACAAGGGGAGACGCACTGCCCTGGAGCCCGGGCCTGTGGCTGAGCAACAAGGGGAGACGCACTGTCCTGGAGCCCGGGCCTGTGGCTGAGAAACAAGGGGAGACGCACTGCCTTGGAGCCTGGGCCTGTGGCTGAGAAACAAGGGGAGACGCACTGCCCTGGAGCCTGGGCCTGTGGCTGAGAAGCAAGTGGAGACGCACTGCCCCCGAGCCACGTCTTCAGCAGGTGTTCTAGGAGGTTGGAGTTGTTAGCTTGGACTACTGCCACGGTGGGAGGGACAGCGCCTGCACTGTCAGGACACCTGTAGAGGTGCAGGGGGCCCATCCCCTGTCAGCCCCCACGTGTTCCTGTGGTTTTGGGTACCTTTCTCCTTTCTTACCGAGATCTAGAGGAAAGACACTCTTGAAAGCAAGAAGCTCCTTGACCAGGCAGCACTTTTATGAGTGGGAGGGCCGGCTGCCCGGCAGTGGTGGTGAGAGTGTCTTCCCTCTCTGGGAGCCCAGAGTGACAGTACTGGTTACCTTATGCTGTGAAACTATTTGAGCATCTCCTGTGTTAGCATTCTTTATTGGGATTTATTTTCCCTATTAGATGTAAATAATAGGGAAAACATGGCTTCTCCTCCTGGGAAATCATTTACCTTATGTGGGAGACAGGCCCAAAACACATGAGTAATGGCTTTGAGATGACACGACGGTTGATTTAGCAGGTCTTCGATGGAGTGAGCTTTGTCACTTGGGTGTGGAAACAGCTTGGCAGAAGACAGTGGGGAGGAAAGACCACGGGCCGGGATGTCCTGTGTAGGTTGTCCCCAGGCCTGGTAAATAGGTATGCTTAGCAAGGCTGCGTTTCAGCCCATCTCTGAGCGTGGCATGTTAGTGCAGCTCCACCCGAAGTGCCTCTCCCAGGAGTGTTCTCGTTCCTTGCCTCCTCGGATTCTCACAGCAGTCCCCAGAGGGAGCCGGAGTAGCCATTGTGCCGTATCTCCGGCGACTGGCATTAAAACCTGAGGGTTTGTAAAGCTCACAGTTGCGACAAGTACGTCCGCTTAGCTCAGAGTCCTCCGAGTGGGAGCCTAAACCCTCGACTTGTCTTTCCACAGAAAGGCCAGCAGAGAGAAGCCCTCATTCTCTTCTTCAACAGAACAGCGGAAGCTAAGATCCCATGTGTCATGTAAGTGGTCACTGAGTGCCGACTTCTCTCTCTCATCTGTGAAAGGAAACATTATCTTAGTCTGCCACAATGGTTTTACTGCTGTGGGAAGTGATCAGAGACTCCAGGTACAGCCGCCTGGAATATCAGGTGGAGGGCACCTCAGCCTCACCGCCCACTAGGCATGAGCAGGCTGGCCCCTGGAGCGCCGCCCTGAGACCCCGTCTCAGCCCCAGTGGGCTGGAGCTGCTGTCACTCGTGAGGAGGGTGGGTCCCCAAACACTACAGGGACGTCTTCCTCTTGCTACAGCTGTGCTCGCTAGCCTGTGGATATTTGGGGTTTTGTGGAAGACCGAGAAGCTGCCTTATGGTGATTCTCTGGTCTTCTCCAAAGATGTGAAGTTTCAGCCATTATTTGCCCACAAAAAGGAGAATCTCAAAGTTCGTTCAAAAGATGTGGGCCAGTGGCCATTGTCACACTGAGTTCTCCATCCTCCCTATAAACTAAATCTGAAGTGATAATTTCTATTATTCACTGACTTAAAAAAACCTCAACTGTCTGCCGTTGTTAAAGAAACCCACTCACATTCAGATATCACTGTGGTAGAAACTGGGGGCAGTTCTAATGACGTGCAGTTTGCCTTGTTTTTTATTGTTTGACATTCATGTGAGACTGTAGCAGGATACTGGTCCAAGTGATTAAATTTCAATGAAAATGAATTGGTGGGTTGAGCAGTGCCAGGTGGGCCGTGGGGACCGAGATCTGGGATCCACTGAGACACACGGCCTCCCCGCCCTCTTGCTCAGCCGCCAGCTCCGCCTCACGAGCTCTCCCCACAGCCTGTGTCCCGACCGAGTTCACTGTGTCCTTCAAACTAAGGCTCTCCGTCCGCCCCGCCAGGGCTGCGGGTGCTGGCCGCTCTCCTGCGCCCGCCTGGCGGGCACGCCGCTTTCCTTTCCGACACTGACGAGCCCTGAACTCCGGATGTGGTGCTCTGTCCTGTGTGTTGAGTGCTGGACCTAGAACCAACCATTTTCCTTAGAATTTATAAATCTAATCACTTTGCCACCGTATAAATAAACTTGGTAATACCTTGTCTTCATCCATTCGGGCTGCAGTAGCAAAAATACCATAGAATGATAGATGATGGTGGCTTAAAGAGCAGATGTTTCTCATCGTTCTGCAGGCTGGGGTTCAAGGTCAAGGTGCCAGCACGCTCAGTCTGGGGAGGCTTCTCTTCGGGCTGCAGACAGCCGTCCCCTCGCTGGGTCCTCCGCAGCGGTGCCCTCGGGCTCTCTCTATGCCGGCCCCAGCTCCGTCACCCCTAGGCCCTTCCTTCCAATACCATCACATCTACGCGGGGGCGGGGGGCACAGGCATTCGGCTTATAACATCTTATACATACTTTTCAAAGTTTCATTATAAATTACACCGTGCTTCACTGTTTCCAACAGTTTTCGTGTCTGTTAACTCATTTCACATTTACAGCCCCTTCGTGAAATCAGTAGAATAAGTCATATTGGCCCTGTTTTCTAAATGCAGAAACTGGGTAAATCTCATGGAAACCTCTGGACCTGAGAGTCACGTAGCTAATTGGAAGTAGATTATAAATCTTAAAACTCAGCCCTGGCCAGGTGGCTCAGTTGGTTAGAGCATCTTCCTGATACACCAAGGTTGTGGGTTCGATCTCCAGTCAGGGCACATACAAGAATCAACTGGTGAATGCATGGATGGGCAGAGTAGCAGGTTGATGTTTCTCTCTTTCTCAAATCAGTAGATAGTGGGGGGAAAAAAGAAATGGTTAAGATGGTAAATTTTTTAAACTCTAATTTTCTCTGCTAGTTTTTCTTTGCTGTTGTCTGTTTTCATTTTAGTGGGCATCTTTCAGTACAAAAACGAAGGTTACTGTGGTAGGCGGGTCTTTCCTTCCTGGGAGCTGGGGCGTGAGGACGGGCAGAGAGTGAAGGGGTCTGCGGTGGAGGGGGGGGGGGCTTGAGGAGTACTGGGGCCTGTGGTGATTATGAACTGGCCAAGTTAATTTTATGGCCTTGTGACTTTTTAATACTGTAGCAATAAACATTTTTGCTTATATCATGGCAAATTTTATGTCTCTCAAACTAATGAAAGTAGATTCAATTTAGTGCCAATGATTCACAAATTGAATTCAAACCCTGGCTGGCCATAGTGATGTTTGAAAATAATTCTTAGATGTTTAAAGTACAGTCCACTTACCTTTCTACCACCTGCTTATCACGGGACACCTTTGAGGTTCATCCTGCTCTAAGGAGGGCGGTGTCTGCTCTCTGTCCAAACACTCCTCCTGGTAAGGACGGCCTCAGGCAGAGCACACGGTTCTTCTGTCCCCAGAAGCTCACCTGCCAGCTGTCTGCAGGAGCCGTGCCCTGCACTGGGATCGACCCTCTGCTGGGTGCTAGTCCTGGGGAAGCCTCCGGGGCGTGCTGATGGGTGACTCTCCCCTCCAGCCCTTGGGGAGCTGCTCAAGATAAGGGTGGGAAGTCAAGAAAAAACACAGTGCATAGAGCAGAGAAGTAAATTAAAAGGGGAATAAAAACCAAACAAATAAGGTCCTTCCCCCGTATTCCTTCGCCTCAGGAAAGAATTCACTTCGCACTGACTTACCTGCTGGCCCTGTGGCTGGCAGTGTAGCGTGGGAAGGAGCTGGAGAGCGCTCCCTGACCGTCTCTCAGGGTTATTGCTCAGGTCTCAATATCACACATCTAGGAATTTGATTAATGCCAGGAATCCCTTAATACCCTGCTTAGGCACTTTCAGACCTATAGACAACACTTTAGTTTGTATTGAAAACACATTATAATGATGGTAACAGCCAAAGTGAAACTGTTAATTATCTTCATGATCCCATGTAATAAGAATGTTTCAGTAACATATCAGAGATACATAAAACAAGGATACTTCCATTTATTTGTATCTGGGAGATGACTAAGAAGTATGGAAGAACTCTTGCTGCACACAGGGGGAAGAAGGCTTGCTTCCCACAGCTCCTAATTTTGCTTCTATTCATGCGACCTGGCCTGAGGGAAGGGAGAGGGGTGAGCTCTCGGGGAAGTGGGAGAAGGGGCCGGCAGGGCCGTACCCCGAAGGTGAATGCCACAGGCACAGTCACTTTTCAGTGATTAGCCTCAGCTGGATGTGCATGTTTCATTTGTGTTGTTGTTGTCAATTGCAGTGAATATATCCTGGACCTGCTGGAAAGTGGAAGAGAGAAGTTTCTGGTATTTGCACACCATAAGGTGGTTCTGGATGCAATTACTAAAGAGCTTGAGAGAAAGGTAAGCTCCCTTCGAAATGCCACACCAGGTGCTCTTAGTGTTTGTGTGGCTGCTGAGTTGTTCTGAGCAGGCTGAGGTCAGCACAGAGTGCGAGGTGGTTCCGGAAACAGTGCTGCAGCCTTCCTGAGGCAGTATTCCTGCCCGTAGACCCACAGGTGGTCAGCACGTTTCCCGGTGCTGCCATGAACTCCCTCCACGCTCCGTACGCATGTCCCAAGACTCTTGCTTTGGGAACATTTCCCGGGAGGTTTCCGTCATTCTGGGTAAATAATTAGAAAATGGACAGGGGATGAGGTAGCAGAAATCATTCTCCTGCGCGGAGACGAGTACTTGTGTGAATATCCTCTTCTGTCCTTTTGTTCCTCCTCGCTACTGCCACGGTGGCTTTGATAACCACCCACGGCCATGTGCAAACTTCAGGACAGTTCTCTGGCCCCAGGAAAAATGAGAGAAATTACAAAGGAAAGAATAGAGTCAGATCATCTGAACAGGGATGCGTTCTGTCACGCACATACACAGCTAAATCATGGTTCTCTTAATACATTCAGTACCCCTATTTTTTTCCCTTGCAGGGAAATTTGGCAATTATTTAATGTACATGCTAATTTTTCCAAATTTTTCTTCTAGGGATTTATCCTAAGGAAATAACCAGACCAGTCAGAAAGATTTATATACAAGAATATTAGCCCTGTTGTTATGTATGATATTGAATAATTAGAAGCTTAAATGTTCAATAGTAGGTGTACTGATAAACAATAGGCCACTCAGCCATAAAATATAATGATGTAGATCATAGGTTCTTAACTTTGTGGAGATCACTGGACCCTTTAAGAATCTGAAATATGAAAAAATTTGACTTTACTAGTAATCAAATGAAAATTAAACTAAGATACTTGTTTTAACCTATTAAATCTGCAGAGGTTTTGAGAATGTGCATTTCTCACTATTGATAACAGCAGTGAGCCGGACGTGCCCGTAGTACTTATGGGAAAAGTAATTTGGTGATAGTATTAGGGGCCTTACATGGAGTTTTTCCCTTTCGCCATAGTACTTTGATTTTTAGTAGTGTAGTCCGGGGAAGTGACCAGATGGGGGCAAAGATCCACAAACAGATTTATTTTGACCATCTTTTAGAAGTTTTTATTTCACTAGCTCTGTTGAGGCATAGTTACCTTGCGATAAACTGCGCATATTGGAAGTGTACTGGTTGGTAAGGAACAAGGTAGTGGACGCGTCTGTCAGCCCAGAGGTTTCCTCCTGCCCTTTGTAACACTTGCTGTTTCTCCCACTGTGCCGTCTCCAGGCCACCATGACCTGCTCTTTGTCCCTGAAGATACATTTGCATTTTTAGAGCTTTATATATGTGGACTCACACAGTGTGTACTTTTTTTCTCATCTGATTTCTTTCTCTCAACCTGTTTTGAGATTCATACATGTTACCGTGTGTGTCAACAGTTCATTTTTTTTAATTGCTCAGTGATAGTCTACTGAATACATAGACCATGATATTTTACCTATCCACCTCTTGTGGACATTTGCCAATCCATCCTTTTTAATTAAATTAGAAACCCCCAAATGTAATGATATAGATGAATGGTTAAATTATACTGTGGCTGCATAATGATATATTATACAGTGATTAAAAGTCATGTTTCAGAAAACTTCCAATAGTTTAGTTTATTTTTAATGTTTATTAGAGAAAGGCAGGATATACAACTTTTATTTAAAACATATATACATTGAGAAAAGAGTGACAGGAAAAAATAGATTGGTAATAGTACTAATATTTATTTTCCTTATAATGTTTGTCTTTATCATTCAAAAACATTTTTAAATTTTTCTTGAAAGAAAATAAGCTGAAGTAGGCAGCACCCAGCTGATCTGGCCGCTGACTCTTGGGCATTTACCTCAAGGGAATGAGAACATATGTTAAGGCAGGAACTTGTACATGAATGTACCTGGCAGCTTCGTTTGTATCATCCCCAAAACTAGAACTAGATGTCTTTCCAAAGGTGGATGGCTAAACTGTGGTCATACATACCACAGAATACTACTCAGCCAGGAAAAGGAATGAGCTACCAGTGAGTGCAGTGGCTTGGATGACTGTCCAGGGAATGATGCCCAGTGAAAAAGCCCATCCCCAAAGGTTACACACTGAATGACTCCATCTACATAACAGGCTTGGAATGAAATGTGGGTGGGAGCAGGAGAGAGGTGAGCGTGGTTAAAAAAGGACTAAAAGGGATCCTTACGGGGTTAGAACTGTTCATATCTTGACTGTGAAGGCTGATAACATAAAAGGCCACATGGGTGACAAAATTATATAGAATACACACACACACAAGTTTAAGTAACACTGGGGAACTCTGAATAAGATTAGTGGATTGTATCAAAGTCAGTATCCTTGTCCTGACCATGTGCTATAGTTTTACCTACTGTCACCATTGGGGGAAACCAGGCAAATGCACAAGGAGCCCCTGTGCATTATTGCCTAAACTACTGGTGAATTTACAATGATCTCAACACAGATTTTAACTTGAGAAGAAAGGAGAGGCAAGACAAGGAGCCCCCAAAGCGGTACGCCGTGACAAGCTTGGTGGTGCGGCCGGGCCGGAGCCAGAGCCGCAGCATGGTCCTGTCCCGGGGCCCACCTCGCTTCCCTCCTGTTCCCGCAGCAGGTGCAGCACATCCGCATCGATGGCTCCACCTCCTCGGCGGACCGAGAGGACCTGTGCCAGCAGTTCCAGCTGTTCCAGGGGCACGCCGTGGCCGTGCTGTCCATCACCGCCGCCAACATGGGCCTCACCTTTTCCTCCGCCGACCTGGTGGTGTTCGCCGAGCTGTTCTGGAACCCAGGGGTAAGGGACGAGGAGACTTGAAGTCCCTGGGCATGCTCATGGCTGCAGGGAGGAAGCAGCTGGTGTCGGTGGGGAAGACCAGGTTTCTGTGAGCTGTCCCTAGGGTCACTTCCGTTTCCACTAGCCCTCAGAAGCGTGTTTACTCCACTTCTCAGTCTTCACTTAGAAGTGAGGCCTCACACCTCTGTTAGCTAGCTCTTAGGTCTTCGCAACAACCTCCTACATGGTAATATCCACTCCATCTTATCGGTGGGAACACTGACGTTTCAGAAGGCTGGAAGGAATCTGAGAAGTCATCTCTCTATGAGGAAATTGGGCGCAGATAGGTGCACAGCTGTCACCAAAGAGGAACACGTGGCAGCACCAGGCCGTAGCCCAGGCCTCTGGCTTTCCACCTTGTGCCCCTTTTGTTAACCGTCACTGAGCTGCTTTTACCACTGGGGCCAAAACCCACTGCTGTGGGTGTTCCTGAACGTGGTCATCGCACCCACTGGCCTTACCTCTCAGCGAGGGCTGTGACAGCAGACTGAAGGCATTTGTCTGGGCTCACAGCATTTTCTCCTGAGCTCCTGTCCCCCTCGCGTGTTCTCACGTGGTGCGGCTCTCACTTGCCGTGCATGGTGCCTGCTTTAGTGACGGGTGGACTTCGGGGGGAATGCATTTTGTCATGGAAACAGTGCTCCTGGTTTTCATTGTTCCTTTTAGGGCTTCCACCATATGAAAACCACCCTATCCCCATCACATATAGTCTCTGCCTTTGATGCAGTGTGTTGGTTTAGCTAGGAGATAACTGTTCTTATTTCACGGAGAGAAGAATGGAATGTGCCAGTGTCCTTCATTTGCCCTTCATCGCAGCCTCATGGCAGAGCTGAAGCTCGCTCCCCCTCCACAGGGCCTAGCACCATGCCCAACACAGAGAGGCCTTCTGCAGCTATTCTGCTGTGGGTTCAGTTCCCCAACTGGTGTTCTCTTTGGTCTGTGTTTTGCCAGGTGACATGTCCTTTGTAGGCAGAGGCTCAAGGGGCCTCCACCATGAAACACATCAGTGAAGCCCTTTGAGGAAGAAGGGTTGTGGGGGATGGGGGCCAGGGGCTGCCTGCTGTGGTGGGCTGAGCTGCTTCAGGCCTTGACCTACATCCACCTGATCCCCGGGCCTCGCAGGTGCTGATGCAGGCCGAGGACCGGGTGCACCGCATTGGACAGTCGAACTCCGTGGGCATCCACTACCTGGTGGCGAGAGGCACGGCTGACGACTACCTTTGGTACGGCCGGCCGCTGGCCCAGCGTTTGGGGTTGAGCAAGGGTGGACACTGATGATGTATTTCCTTTGCTCCCTACGGGCTTCTGCTTTTGCTAAGGGCTTCCTCCCACTTTCATCATGGCCACGTTCAGCTCCTTCCCAGCATTCACTGGGGGCCTGTGGGGTGCACGAGGAAACTATGCAGGAGTAAAGGGTGTGGCTCCTTCCCCACTGGCTTTAGACCAGGGAGGAGAACTGATTGTGATGAAATGTAGATCAAAAGTGTCAAACACTGTTTCTAGCCCTGGAGGCAGTTGCTGAGACAGGGTGACAGCCCCCTTTGCCCCTTTATAATGTGCGTCAGGACAGAGTGGCTCACCCTGGGCCACGTAGCGCTTCATTAACACAGCTGGGGGTTCGTGTCTTTTACCTAAGCAAAACATCCCCAAATGCTCTTTCCCAGTCCCATTTCCCCCTTCCTGATACTTTCTTGATTATCTCGGTTTCCATTACTTATCTGTTTCCAGCCTCTGGACTGAGGGTCTTAGCTCTGCAGTGCGTGCAGCTCGTTACTATTTCCGTCACTCGGTGTGGTGGGGTTTAATTGGGCAGTTCATAACAACACGAGGTTCAGAATGTTGTTGCAATGAGGCAGCCTACATTTCCTACACATCTTCCAGTAGAAAGAATTTTGAACCTGATGCTACGAGCTCGAAATTGGTTGGTTCACAGTTGAGAGGAGGCAGATATTTCAGGGGGCGCTTGTGCCTTGGGAGGCACAAAGATGTGGAACAGCAAGCGTGTCAGTCCTGCTGCGAACAAGGAGGGTGGTCCCGTTTTCATCAGTCTTGGTTCTGTGCAGGTTGGATTCACTGCAGCTCCTTTCTCCCCCTCAGGCCCATGATCCAAGAGAAGATTAAAGTTCTGGGTGAAGCTGGGGTTTCTGAGGCCAATTTTTCAGAAATGACAGAAGCCACTGATTACATCTACAAGGTAACAGCTGCACATGGCTCTCACCGCTGGGGCAGAAGGAGGCATTAAGCTGCCTGCCAGCCCTTGGGTCCGCAGCAGGAAGGTATGAGCCGCTCCTGGGACCTCCCCCAGCCCAGGAGCTGAAATGATGATCTGCAGTCATTCTCAGTTCAATCCATGTGTGCGTCCTTCATGGACGAGTGATGGCACTGACTTCTCCTGCTTCGGCCCTTCCCCCGAGATGCTCATACGACCAGGGCTTCCACATCTGCCCCTTCCATCAGGCCTTTAGAAAACTCCCTGTGGCAACGGTTGAATCACTGCAAAAAGCATAGCAACACCACGTAGCAGGGCTGCCACCGGCACGTGTCCCCCGCAAGAACGAGGAGTGTTCAAAACCAGGCATTGCTTTTATAGAACTTATTTCCCCTCAGCCGCTGCATTGCAGTCTCAATGCCTCCCATTTTGTAGAGGGGTAAACTGAGGCACGCACAACAGTGAGACTTGCCCAGTCACAGAAGCCAGCCCAAGGTAGCCGGCTTCCCCACTCCACCCAGCACTCCTTCTGTGCCAGCCCCTCGCTCTAGGAGAGGAAGAGGCCCGTGCAGCCCTCCGGGCCAGGCGGGTCCTGCTGCTCCAGCGATGAGTAGTTGACAGGGCGGGCCTGCACGCCATCACGCAGCGCCTGCCACGTGAGCTGTGCGCCCTCCGGTGTGTGCTCTCACCCGCCAGTGGCCTGGCTCCTTTCATCTTTCCTTTCTTTCTCTGAAGGACCCAAAGCAGCAGACGATCTACGACCTGTTCCAGAAGTCCTTCGAGGAGGACGGAAGTGACAAGGAGCTCCTGGAGGCAGTGGAGGCCTTTGACCCGGGAAGTGCTTCAGGAACGTCTGGAGGTAGTTCCCAGGACGTGGGAGCCTCGCAGGACGAAAGCACGTTGACGGGCAGTCCAGTGAAGAAAAGGAGATTTGAATTTTTTGATAACTGGGACAGCTTTACCTCTCCCCTGTAAGGGGGAAAAAGCATTGAAAAATCATGGAATTCATTAAAATAAAATGGACCTTTTGTTTGTAAAGCCTGTGCTACTCTCGTCATTAAAGGGGTGCCAGTCTCCAATCTCAGTGAGTTTCCAAGCCAAAGGACAGCATTTCCTTCCCAACCTCATAGTGTGGATTTGGGTCCTAGTTAACCTCAGTTTCTGGGTTGAGAAATAGAGACAGTAGGTTGTAGGAGTGGTAATTCATGTTCTTTAAATAACGAGCTGCTTCCTCCACAGCCCACAAAATGTGAAGTTTTAAAATTGATTGACTCAACAAATATTTATAGAGCATCTAACGTGCCAGGCAGTGTTCTAGGTGCTGCGATGATGCGCCGGACGCCAGAGGGAGCGTGGGCGTCTTTCAGAGGTTATCACGGGGAAGGCAATAGTCACACATCCTAGAAAGAAAAACAGGAGGTATGGTTGAGAGCAGGGGTCGATAGGTCTTTTCTGTGCATAGCAGTAGTGAATGCTTGAGCTTAACGAGCAGGACACCTCTGCTGAAACTGCTCGGCTCTGCTGCTGTGCTGCGTAAATAACCACAGATAACCCGGAAACGACGGTTACGGCTCTTTTCCGACAGAACTCTGCTATGGACCCTGAAATCTGAATTTCATATAATTTCCATGTGTCACAAATCATTACTCTTTCGATTTATTCCAATCACTTAAAAATGCAAAAATCATACATAGCTCACAGGCCACGCAGAAGCAGGCAGTGGGCAGAGTTTGGCCTGCAGACAGACCCAGCTTGCCAACCTGCGGTTCAGAGCAACACTATCGAGTATAACGTAAACCACATAGGTGATTTTAATTTCCTAGTAGAGTATTTCAGAAAATAAAGAAGGATCAAATCAATATTTTATTTTACCCAACCTATTCAAAATATTGTCATTTCAAAATACAATCACTAAAATTTTGTCTTCTCTCATCCCTGAAGGCCTCCAAAGCAAATTTTATTTATATCGTGTGGCCTATATATGTTCAGGTACACCATTCAAAATGTGCCTCTGATTTTACTGCGAGCCATCCGGCCATTCCTGTGCGACTTCGTCACAGACACTTGGCTGCAGAGACCACTGAAGACCTGGGTGAGGAAGGGTTTCCACACCGACTCCTTTGCCTTCTGCACCTTGCAGCCCAGACACACCTCCCAGCAGCTGCTGTGTTTTCTGGAAATGTCGCTTGGAATGAAGAAAATGGGCCCATCTCATCCCACTTTTGTCCCTGCCACCAACTCTGCCCCCCCTCCCCGCCCCAGTCCATTGGCACTGTCTCTGCCTCCCTCACCAGGGTCATTAAATGGGGTCCTGTTCCCTGAGTGACCGTGGTTAATTTCTGCCTCTAGGGCCTGGCGTCAGGAAGGTCCTGTTAACCGTGATGAACTGATGATTGAATTAATCATGTCTTTTCCTTCTTGACTCCACACAAGCCTTTTTCTAGGTCAGAGGGAGAGCTGGGGAGCAGAGCTGGAGGGGCCCCCCTTGCCATGGGCTCCTGGGTTTTGCCTAGTCTGTGTGTTCTTATCTACTGGAACCTTGAGGCTTTTTGAAGCTCTTTTTTGGTGAAATATAAACTGAAAAGAGGATAAAAAGAAGCCTAACTATTTTTTACCCCATCCTCTCATTTCTTACAAGTTCAGGTAAAAAATGGCTTGGAAGCTTAACAGGGTTTCATCGGAGCACTCTCACACCTACGTTTTACTCTGGCTTTGTGTTTTCCTGTGGGTCTCAGGGAAGGAAATGGATTCCTAAGCACAGCAGAAAGCGCTCAGAAGCCTGTGAGTCACAGTCTGGGTATTACGACAGCCAACAGTTATTTGATTTTGCAACACCTGCTCACATTCACACCCCCCCCCCCACACACACACACCCTCCCCAACCCATTAGATTTTATTGAGTACCGGGTACTGTTCTGTTTCTAATGCCCTTTTGGGGGGATAAAATACAATACACAAAACAAATTGACAGTTTAACAAAATATAAAATAAACACCTGTGCAACCATGATCCCAAGGTTATGAATATAATACCTTCCAGAAGCTTTATTGCTTGGCTTTTAATGTTTAGATCTACAATCTACCTGGAGTTTATTTTTGTACATGGGTGAGGTAAGGTCAAGGTTAATTTCTTCCCATATGAATATGCAGTTATCTCAGCACTGCTTATTGAAGACTTCCTTTATATACTGCTCCGCAGTGGCTTCTTTTTCACTGTTACAAATTGGATGTGAAAATTAATCTAGAAATGTATAAGTAAAAAAGTGACAAAGTCCTATATTCTCCTTCTTTCTACCCTTAGCCCTACTTCCTAAACATAATAACTAATATAAACAATTTGGGATGGAGCCATTGGTGGTATATTCCCAATACATATAATTATATAGAAATATACAACAGGTTTTTGAATAACAGTTTTGTTCAATGTCCTTTTGTTACAACATTGATGAGATGCTGTAGGAACTTAACTCATTCATGTCAATTAGTCTATGGTAAAATTGGTTTCCTTAAATATTGTTTCACTTAGGGTCACAGAACCTATTGGTGGCATTAAGTGAGGACCTACTGTATGTAGAATTTGTTTTTACAAACACTGGATCAAACTCTGTATTGAAAATGGCTCATTTCACATAAGGTATTTGGCCATTGTTTCATATTGATCTACTTACCTCTTTTAAGGATTGCAGAATAACTCCATTCCTGATGGATGTGCTGCCTGTGTCCATGCTCTATGAAACCTCCATTAAAACGACGACAACATGCCAGGCAGGTGTGGCTCGGTGGCTTGAGCATCGTCCCATGGACCCAGAGGTCCCAGTTGGACTCCTGGTCAGGGCACATGCCCAAGTTGTGGGCGTGATCCCCAGAAGGGGCTGTGCAGGAGGCAGCCAATCGATGTTCTCTCTCACATCGATGTTTCTTTCTCTCTCCCTTCCTCTCTGTCTCAAAAAATCAATGAAACCATTTTTAAAACCCTACAATTTATTTAAAGTAAATCTGTGGAGAGAAGGAAGGGAAGAATCTGTGTTGAATGTGTTTCAGACATCAGATTCTTTCTAGGTGTCCAGGACTTGGCCCTGGTAAGCTTTGGTCCCCTTTGCTGAGTCAGCCCTTCCCTGCAGAGCTTGGACCACAAGGTTCTTAGCAATTCTGTGCTAAGACTTTGCTCTTGTCTATGGCCTCCAGACACTTCAGTGAAGGGCAACCAAGAGTTCTTCAGGCAGGAAGTGAAGGACCAACATGGAGCCTGGGTCTCTGGAATAAACCCTGTCTCCAGCATGAGCTGAGTGTGGGATGATGCTCGCAGCTCACACTTCTCTGAAGGATAAAATGTTCCATATGCCCCCAAGAGAAGTGGTTGACTCAACAGCTGAAAGAGCTCTTCTCGGGAAGTGACTTTTATTTATTTTTCTAAAGGCGAAAGTGAATTCTGAGTGCTTCTGAGGAGCAGGGTGACTCACCAGAGATTTTTACTGAGACTTTTATGGATACACATCACAGTTAACAATCTGTGTACCTGATGGTCCTCTGAAGGGATGAGATTTATTATCCCACAGATAAGACAAATTGAGATTTTATGAGAGGCACAACTCTCTGCAGCCACTGAGAGCGGATTTCATGAGAGTGCTATTTGTACATCCTCAGGCTTGCTGCTTAAAAAGAGCTGTTCAGTTTTGACAAAATTGCTCTGAACATGAACAATTTCCTTCTATTATGGGGTGTCTCGTTTTCAGCCATTCTGCTGCATTCTTACTGATGGAGGGAATGGGGGGGGGGGGGCGGATGGTAAATGTTCTAAGTGATGACCTGAAGTAGACTCTAGAGCCAGCCCAGGAGAGCACGAGGCTGGGCATGCTTACCCACTTATCCATGCTTACCCCACTGCTTGGCACAGACTGAATGTTAAAGTATTTGTTTGTTTTTTTTTTAACACTCCTACTAGTCTGCTTTTGCACCAATGTGAATATATTTTTGTTTTAATTTATAGTTTTCTGGGAGCAGGGCATAGTTTTGGGGAAGAGGTTTCCAGAAATCATCTCTGAAATGCAGTGTGTTTCTCTACTGGGGAAGGAGGGATTTGCTCCTTGGGCCCCTTGCTATTCTTTGTCCTGAAGAGGAAAAGGAGACATAAAGCCTGTTATGGAATCGAGAGACCTTGGGCACATTCCACTCCCTTGGGGGACATCAGATGGCAGTAGCTGTGACTGTAATAGGTTCATTTTGTTAAAGAAGTTAAGGAGAAAAGTGATGGGTATAGTGTTAAGGGAAAGTAAAAAGCAGATCTGTTGTAGTCCCTTGAGTATGGCAGAAGAGGAAACAGCATTGAAAAGCATCAGGAGACACTGCCATCAGGTCTTATCATCATCTTTACAATAATAACATCACTTAGAAATGCCCTCTAGGTACTTCATAAAAGTTCTTTCATTCTCCCAAGAACCTTACAACGTGTATGGAATACTCGCTTCGCAGCTGAGAAAACAGCTTGAATTATGTGACATAGTAGAAAGAGGACTGGTCTATACATCATTTATTAGCTGTATGACCTTGGGCAAGTCATTTGACCTCCATGGGCCTCAGTTTCCAGTATTGGTTAATTATCTCTAAAGCTGTGTTTAGTGCCCTGGCCAGTTTGGCTCAGCGGTTAGAGCGTCGGCCTGTGGACCTGAGAGACCCGGGTTCAGTTCCCGCTAAGGGCACGTACCTCGGTTGCAGTTTGTCTCCGGCCCTGGTCGGTCGTGAGGGTGGCAGCCACTCGATGTGTTCCTTTCACATCGATGTTTCTCTCTCTCTCTCTGTTCCTCTCTCTCCCTCCCACTCTACCTGAACAAAAAATGGAAAAATGTCCTCGGGTGAGGATAAAAAATAAATAAATAAATAAATAAATAAATAAAGCTGTGTTTAGTTCTGGTGTAATTGGATTGACCCAGACAAAGTAAATCCTTTACAAACCCTTCTCACTAGCATACCATGCAAGATACCATGTCCCCATTCAACACGCTTCCATGACCACAGACATACC